GGGTGAGGCGGGAGGGAGTGTCAGACTCTTACTGACTAAAAACCACCCCGTTCCTTCTCCTGCACTTCGAGCCGGAGCCCCGGTTACCTGTTAGGTTCTCCGCGACAAGTGTTAGGCATAGGTGCACATTATGCCTCTGTACAATGTAACACCCACTTTTCACTATTTATGTTACGAGTCCCCTGTAATACAGAGTGCGCCTATTGCCATATAGCGGGCATGAATTCAGACTCCGTGTTACTACTGATAATTTAAAAAAATCAAAGTAATACTTTGCCCGACCCGGAATCAAACCCGAGACCCTTTGCCCGACAGTTGCGACTACTCAGCCAACAAGGCAACGAGTTTATTTTACGTCGAAAGTAATCGATACGAGTACGTGTTCGGTCCTCTGAGGCCTTAGTACGAGTTTGATTAACGTTTAAAGTATTCGAAACGAGTACGCGTTCGGCAATCTGATTGGTCGGCGCAAATTAACCAACCAATCAGAGGCCTTAGTACGAGTTTCATTTACGTTTAAAGTATTCGTAACGAGTACGCGTTCGGCACTGTGATTGGGTGGCGCCAATGAACCAACCAATCAGAGCGCCGAACGCGTACTCGTTACGATTACTTTAAACGTAAATCAAACTCGTACTAAGGCCTCTGAGCGCCGGACGCCGTCTCGTTTCGATTACTTTAAACCAAAAAGAAACATGTACTAAGCCCTCTGATTGCCCGGCTCCAATGAACCAACCAATCACAGGGCTTAGTACGAGTTTGCTTAACGTTAAAGGTAATCGATACGAGTACCCGTTCGGCGCGTTCTAAATTCGCATTAATTCATTCATTTTCACTGTAAATTAGTATAATGTCTCTCTTGTATCAAAATTCCTATTAAATTACATATTTCACCACATACTGAAGTAGATATTATTAATTAATTCAATATGTATAGTGTTTAATGTACATTAGCTATATATAATTCTAATCTCCATGATTACCACTAATTGGCTTTTTGTTGCATGTCACATTCTTTTTAATCAAATTGTTTAGCTGTTGGTTTTCCAAGTTCTAAATATTAAAGTTATAAAAATAAAATAGATACATATTAGAATCAATAAAATAGAACAAATTAATCACACTGCATTCAAATGCAATCATATTGTAAATAAAAATCAACAATAAGAAATACTTACTTGAAGCCATAAGCCAATGCCACAAACGCGAAAGCAGCAGCAGCGTGCCTGATGCGACCAATCCATTCGTCTTTCTTGATGCGCTGGAAGTACAGTTCAGGGACAGTGTGGATCCAGTAAGCAGCTTGGACAATCCACCAGAGCTTCAGCAAAAAGCTCATTGGGTGGCTGGGGTAACCTGTCAGAAAACAATGAGATTCTAATTAGAAAAAATAAATTACAATTATTATATATCATCATCATCATAGCCAAAGTCCAGTTATTTCTTTAAGTTAGATTACTGTATTATTTGTCCTAAATACTTTAGTGCTAAACTGTTTACATTGGAGAAAGTTTGCCTTTAAAGTATGCTAATCAAATCATTCCATTTTCAAGTGTAAACTTAACCTTCTTTTTACTTGATTTGCTTATTACTCATTTAGGCAATATTTAAATCATCATTGACAGATTATTTAAATCATCATAGATAAAATCCAATACCTTAATTTATTCAAAGTATTATTTACAAGGAAGTTTTAGTTTTCCACTTAACATAATAATAGATGAATAATTAAATAGGCTTAGAATTTTCTACAGCCTTATTTTCAAAGTACTCTAAATAATGAGGAATATTTATTGAAAAATTTGTGTGTTCTAGAAGCAATTATCATGATTACCATTAAAAATCAATAAAAATAAATAATTACCATCCCACAACTGTGAAATATTGAAGATAAATCCTTCACGGATGATAGCATCTCCACCCCAAATAAGGGTCACAAGGTGGAACACAACCAGCTGACCCGATTCATTCAGGGCACTCAGTCTTGATTTGGACAGATGAAACTTCTTTGATATTTTCTACAAACAAAAACAGCAATGTTACTTACTACACATACAGGTGTAGTGTGTCACCTCAACAAATATCTACAGTTATGATATTTACTGACTCAAACATATGTTGCAACTGTGTCACACTTACATCCAAGAAATACTCCTGGAGGATGGCATGCATTACAATGCACACCAACGAGTAAAAGAATACTGCACAGGCGTCTTTCCATCCTGCTTCGTAGAAGAATGGTTCTCCTTTTGGTGCTTCTCTGGTGGGCTCAACTCCACTGACATTGTGGTGTAGGCTGATGAATAAGCTCGCTATCGGACTTGTCGACTGCAATATTAATACAACAGCTGTGTCACAAATAGTTTTTCACGGAAAAAATTATGTGGAAACCTGATTTTCCGAAGCGTATAGCTTACGTGGCATGCTTGTCACTCACCTGTACCATCAACCCAACCAAAAACACCATCACCACACACGAAACTATATCAGCATGATTCTGAATCACAAATTCATGACTAAAAATAGGTGGGTTCTTGTTAGATTTTCTTCCAATTGCAGGTTTAACACCCATTTTTCCCGGCGGTAACCTGTCTGAAATTAATCCGATATTAAAACAATACTGAAAGTATCGTGCAATTTATAAATTAAATACGAATTAGGTAATAGATTCCTATTAAAAAACGATTAAAATATCGTACCTCAGCACAGACGGAGCGAATTATACCCGAATAATAATATTTCTGACAGGAATCCAATCGACGTGACACTTTCACTTGCTACGCGGTGAAACGTCAACGTCGTTTGTTGATTACGGAAATACGACGGTTGTTGTGTTGGCACTTGAGAACATCAAATATTGGTCTTTGTTGTTATTTGCTACGACTTTTGCACATCAATGAAATTTAATAATCAGCAATTTAAAATTAACATTAAATAACATGCCAGTCTTATTAATTAATATTCTTACTTGCAGAATAAATTATAAGAGTAGATCTCTTTTAGCGGAAATGATAAACCATAGACTTAACTTTTATTTTTAAATATTTAGAGCAATACATAGCAAAACAGAAATTATTCTAAGCATAAACAATAAAGAGTTCCATTCATCATTCAACATAACGCATGCGAAACATACTATTTATATAAGTAAACAGTACTATTGGATAGAATCCATAAAAAAAACATTGCTTTATGTGATTGTGATAACTTATATGAATCAGTTAGAATTTATTGTTAATATAGATGTGGATTTCAATTTTTTAAATTGGACGGTACTTTATCTTGTAATTTATCATTGGTGTTTGTGTAGTTTTCACCACCTCGACAACCAAGTAAGAAATCTCGGAACCGAGGACTCTCAGTCTATTATTACTATTTACTGCACCTGTGCATTCCGTTGTATTAAATAGACTCACCTATATTACATGGAACTCATAATTAGAGAAAAGTAACCGATTTATGTATCAAGTGCATATCTGTCTACCTGTGCGAATGGAATAAGCGTAATGCTATGTTATATTACAACTACACATAATGATGGTCTAATATATCGCAGTCAATATGATATATTAGATAACTATAGATCATAGTCGGGTCAGGGTAGTCCGAAAGTTCGACGGGCGAAAGACGACGGAAGACGACCTCGTACCTGTCGAGTACGAGGGTGCGGGGTCGAAGAAACCTTTCAAACGAAATTCAAATTGTAATTTTGAAATCGCCAATCAGCCTTGAGCAAGCGTGGTGATTAATGATTTTACCTTTTCTGTGTGAGAAGTCTTTGCTTAGCGATAAATAGTGAGGCTGACGATAAGACGATGATGATGGAACAGAACTCACAGAAGACAGCTTGCTAAACTTCATTTATGAGTTTGAAAATAAATGATACACCATAACTACGACAATAACTTTTATTGTAAATTCCACATGTTATCAACATGACAAAATTTTATAATTTTTAATTTAATAGATAATTTGATTACATGAATAACGATATCTCATGAAATACTGTCTAATATAGTAATTTCTATCAATTTATTCTTATTGTCTACATAATTCTGATAACATAATCTCTAATACAAAATAGTCGATAGCCAATCAATATAATAAAAAGAATTAAAAGAAAATAATCTTAAAATAGAATCTCATATATTCATCTCCCTAAATAAATTATAAAAGTGATCCTAGTAAAATAAATTAACACCATTATTTTCACAAAGAGAAACAGTCAGTCCACAGCCACTCAGTGTTGTTGTAATGCTGTACTTATGTGTTATATAAAGTTAGTTACATTGTGATAGCACGCTGAATACATCTATGATGTAACATTAAAAATATATTTATTTAATGTGTCTGTGGTAACTGATATAAAGCCATTAAATCACACAGTGTATTGAAATGGAAAGCCTCGAACTTCAACCTCTTTAATGAATGTCATGAAAGATAATAATAATAATTTTCCCTAAAACTAAAATGGCAGATTAATAATCAGTTTTCCTTTCAACTTTTACATATAATCTACAATCACTTCTAATACTTTCGGACATCAATATAAACAATTTAAAAATAATTTCGAGAATAAATCCTAGTGCACCGTTTAGCAAATATAACTTGTCTACTAGAGATTACAAAATAACGACATCTAGAAGAAGCATACACTTATACGCATAACTTTATGCACCATTGCAACATTTAATTTGATAAATAAATAAAATAAATAGCAAGGGCCTATGTACACAGTACACGCGTAATTTGTGAACAGAGAAGGGCATAACAGAAGAGTGCTACACACATACACAATAAGCACACAATAAGCTCACCAAAATTATTTAAAATGAATCTAAAAACCTTAAAGCCATTCTGACACGACTTTAAAGGCACATAAAATGTGTACACAGGACCTTTTTAGTTTATCTAAATTACACAGACCAAGCACATTAGTCTGCGATTAGATAAGCATACCCCCAGAAAACAACAGATGTATATTTTAGCTATAAATTGTGTTATATAACATTTTCGGAGTCGATTTCTCCTTGTTCTACTGTCATGTACATGCCTTCTTCCTCGTAGGTAGACTCGTGCTTCGCTAGGATACGGAGCAATGGACGCAGCTTCATCCACCATTGCTGCTTCGGTATTCTCTGACTGAAATAATAGAATGGTAAATTATGAACTGATTCGAACTAGGTTGGTATTGAATTTTAAAGTCAGTCGGTAGAGAGAGGTAGTTAAAGACGAAGAACGTAGTTAAGGAACGACATAAATTAAATATACATTTAATGCACCGATTTGTGAAATCTAATTTAACAAATATCATATTTATAAGCACAATGTAGGCGCAATCTTGCATAAAATTATTGCTTACGTTGTTTTAGATGAATATCAGTAATAATTGTTCTGCCAGTTTTGCCTTGCTTATACATATTTATGAAAAGCAATAAATATTTCATATTATGATAAATACATTTAAAACTTTTATTACTTACGCGAAGTTAGTCTGCGCCTTCAAGTCCTCAAGAGGAGAGAATTTGTACTGTCTTTTAACGATGCCCAGCAGACAGGCGGAGTCGGGAGTGTTAGCCGGTCCCTTCTGGATGGTCTCGACCAACCAGTGCAGACACTTGGCAGCCATTTTAGTTCCCATGTTACGATCGAAAGGTGTTGGAGATCCGCCTTGTTGCATGTGACCTTTGGACAAGAAAAAATATTATTTCATAGAACAACATAACATAACATAACATCACGCCTTTTATCCCCGAAGGGGTAGGCAGAGGTGTACATTACGGCACTTAATGCCACTGTACAATGTAACACCCACTTTTCACTATTGTATGTTATGAGTCCCATGTAATAGGGGGTGAGCCTATTGCCATATACCGGGCACAATTCCAGACTCCGTCTACTACTGAGATTTTTTGAAAAAACCCAGTAATATTTTGCTCGACCCGGGAATCGAACCCGAGACCCCTTGCCCGGCAGTCGCAATTGCGACCACTCGCCCAACGAGGCAGTTCATAGAACGTGGCATAAAAATATGCAAATATACGTTGAAAAAATAGTAATTAAGAAAGGAAAGTATTATTCCAGAGATAGGTCAAATGTGAAAACTGGAACTTTTAGTTCAGAAAGTATATTCAGTTACTTTTATTTCTATTTAATGTATCAACAAATTGTAAAACATATCGGCTGGACCAAAAGGTTTTATGAAACCAAAACCAAACATATATACTATAGGGAAATACAAGTCCTGAAGCCAAGGTAGCTGCTATAGAATTATTATAATAGTCAATCTAAGCGAAGGATACACTAGGGGACAAATGTCTTACGACTGTCACCAGCGACGTTGGGTGGAGTAGAGCGACTTTGTCAGACTTTGGTATGAATAAGCGCGCGTTGTTGCCTTATAATATGTCGGGCGAAATCGGTAGGCTTCACTTGACATGTCGCCGATACATGTCGTGTGACGTTTGTTCCCTAGGTCATCCTTGGCTTAATACCACTCACCAAGCACATTCATCCTAGCAGTAAACAGTCCTTTGCCCTCCTCAGAATACAGACGGTAAATAAAGTCTGTATTGTAGTTATCATTAGCCTTCTCATTACGCAGGATGAGACCGCGTTGAATACCGCCTGTCATCTTAGAAGCCATGTGGTACACATCCTGCTGCAAGTCCTTGATGGAGAACTTTTCTTCGTAGATATACGCAGCGTCTGCGCCACCAGCCAAGCCTGACGAGTGATAAAATATATTTTACAAACTGAAAATGGTTTTATATTAAATTTGAGGTAGCATTTTCGTGTTCAACAGATTATGGAATTCACGTTGCTTGAGGTTCCTAGAAATTCTTTTTGTCCCATTGAACGTGATTGGTCACGTTGGACAAACAGGCCCTCATGCTACATTAGCTCTATCTGGTGTGTGCAATAACGTCAACCCTAATTATTACTACTTATCTTCATCATAAATGTTTAATTACCTGCTAAAGTAGACAAGTAGCCGCAGTACCCTCCCATGGTCTCAATGACAAACACACGGCGTTTAGTTCCCTGAGGAGAAAATATATTCACTTATATTTCCTTGCAGCGTTAAATTGTTAACTACTCACTTTGCCCACGACATGCAAAATTTCTTCTACGAGAACTGGACATATTTTTCCCGTCAACATGTAGTATTAGTTCAATTGTATAGTTAAGAGTAGGAGAACCTTTCTTCGGCACGAATGGGCCGGCTCGACCTGAGTGATACCACGGCCTCACAGAAGACCGACGTGAAACAACGCTTGTGTTGTGGTTCGTCGTGTGAGTGAGATTACCGGAGGTCCAATTACCCCCCCCTCCCCCTCCTTTCACAATCCCTGAATCCCCAACAAGCTTGAGGATTGCCCTAATCCCAAAAGGCCGGTAACGCACTTTTAACGCCTCTGGTGTTCCAGGTGTCCATGGGCGACGCCGATTGCTTACCGGTTTATGCCATAAAAAAGAAATCCGAAAGAAATCTATCTCAGTCAAATTATACCCTGATCCATTTAGCAGCTTTGTAGTGAATAAGTATCAAATATTGTATCTATATTTATTTCCATTTATAAGTACAAACTCTATGTACAAATTAGCTCACCTGAGCGGACTGCCGGATACGGTCGCAGATCTCAGTGATCTCGTTGAGCGCAGTGTCGGATCCCAGAGAGAAGTCAGTTCCGGGAACATTGTTACTGATGGTAGACGGGATCACCACCAATGGGATGCAGAACTCGGGGAACTGGGCACGACCCTCGTAGATCTCCAGGGCGGCTTGGTAAGCCTAAAAAGTATTAGATATAGCTCTGTAATTCATTATGTGTATGATTTAAGTATACTGTCTTACAGGAGTAGATTGGAAAATTATCGCAGGTTTTTGCCCGTAACATTCAACAACTCGTTCATAATGTTTAAGGAAGCCATACACGCTAGGTTTTGCATGATGGTTTTAGCCGTGGATGCATAACCGACAGGCAAGCCCTAGCGTTTATGTGACTAAACTGTACAGTTATCGGTGCATCGGTGCTCGGTTATGCTTGTCGGTTTGCAAATTTATAACCATCATGCATAACCTAGCGTGTATGGCCTCCTTAGCGCATTCAGATTTTAAACAAAAATACCGATTATGGTAACTGTACTTATATTTATTAAATACAATGATTTTACCTCGAATCCACCAATGATGAGAAGTCCTTGAATATTGAACTGTTTGATGCGAGCAGCTATTTCCGCCTTCTTGTCGCCAGGCAGGGTACGTTTAGTGCCAAGGAAGGCTCCTCCCTGAGCCACCCAACCGGTCACATCAGACCTAGATTACAAATAACATTGTGATTTTAATGCAAATATTTAAGTATATAGTTGTATTGTTAAAATAAAGTAAATAAGAGGGATGTTTAAACCTTCATCCTTCTTTTTTTAATAAATAAAGGTAAATAATATCTATTTTGCAACTACTGATTTCATAGTAATTGCAAAATCTCATAGTAGTTGAAATAAGTACTGATTTCATAGTAGTCTCATAGTAGTTGAAATAAGTACTGATTTCATAGTAGTTGCAAAATCTATGGGACAACTAGTACTTTTAATTTGTCCAGTACACATTGCCTACCCGCCTCGAGAATAAAAAGGCGTAATGTTATGAATTATGATTATGGTAAGTCACGCACAAATACTGAAACGTTACTCAATTTTAAGTGGCACTTAAGTATTTTTTTTATGGGATAAGCCGGTAAACGAGCATACGGATCACCTGATGGTAAGCAATCAGCGTCGCCCATGGATACCTGAACGCCAGAGGCATTACAAGTGCGTTACCCTCCTTTTGGGGATTAGGTATTGAGGATGGTTGGAGATTCAGGGATTGGAGAGATTGGGGAAGGGGATGTAATTGGGCCTCCGGTAATCTTACTCACATGACGAAACACAACGCAAGCGTTGCTTCACGTCTGTTTAATGTGAGGCCGTGGTACGACAGAGATGGCACGACATTGAAATAAAACTTCAAAATGAGTAGCATTTCAGTATTCGGACGTCATTGTAATGGATAATTATTACCTAATTACTATTAAGTATGTTTATAGATCTCATAATCAACCAATCTCTTAGCTTAAAATAACCCTTGTTTAAACTAATAAATAAGTTCAAATTACCATTCCATATTAACGATGTTCCCACTGATGAAGCCCTCGATACCGTCATGGATGCCGAGCACGGTGTCGCCGCGGTAGATACAGTTACGTACGAAGGACCGCACCGCCGCGTTCATACCACACGCAGGCGCGCCTACGTGCATTACGGCTAGGGTCAAACCTTCCTGTAAGGAAAACAATGATTCATTTACTAGTTACTTTCGCGCGGTTTCGGTAGCGTGATATTTTATATCCTATAGCCATCCTCGATAAATGGGCTATCCAACGCAGAAAGAATTTTTCAAATCGGACCAGTAGTTTCGGAGATTAGCGTTTTCAAACAAAAAAACAAAAAAATCTCTCCAGCTTTATAATATTTTAGATAAAATTTACTGTTTTATACATAGTATTAGTTGAAAGTTGAAATAAATAGTGCATCTATACTTATATATAAAAAAATGAAACCCGTTTCCCGTTGTCACGCCATAACTTGAGAACGGCTAGACCGATTTGGCTGATCTTTTTTTGTTGTCTTTGTTATTGTCAGGAGAAGGTTCTTATGACAGAAAAAAATCCTGAAAATCCTACGGGAACGGGAGAAAACGGGATTGCGCGTACGAAGTCGAAGAAGCTATTTTTCAATAACGATTCGGCATATTTTTCTTTATTTTCAGGAGATTTTAGTCCACATAATAGATATGTGTATAAAGTAAACTATAATGCCACGGTTGGCGTGGTTGCTGGGCAACTGTCTGCCACGCAACGTAATGCGGGTTCGATTCCCGCACGGAACAACTCTTTGTGTGATCCACCAATTGTAAACGCAACCATGACACAGGAAAAATTCCTAGTGAGGGGCAACGTTAAAAAAAAGTAAATATAATAAATCCCAATATTATAAGTAGAACTCCCACTTGTTTATGGCACACACAATACCTATTTTTTGGAATTGCAGTATATGGTCACTTAATCATACTTACAGCAGGTTTGCCAGACGCATCGAAAGCTTCCTTGGGTGGCTTCAAACGGGTCAACATTTTGTATGTCTCCAAGTTGCGTGCAAAGCTGCGCCCGCGCAGTTGCACCGCTAGATCCCAGTTTTTGTCAGCCATAGCCTAAAAAGAATATTTTTATACTATACTTAATAGGAAGAGCATATAGCTGTACATAAGAAATGTAATAACTGCTGGCCTGCAACCTAATTGGTCACTTCTAATCAAGCATCACTTAAGGTATCACTAAACAAAATTACTATTTTAGAAAATCCTCATGTAAGTACATATACATATAATGTAACTAGCTCTTGACCTCTGGCTAACCATTCGGCGATGCTATTTTATAATTTAAATTTCAATAAATAATGTATTTTACCTGAGCGACAGCCTTAGTACGACGCACACACTCCATGAGCGGTAGGCGCACGGCTTGGTTGCCGTCCAGCGACACCACGCAAGGCTCCGTGTCAGGGGTGGCTTCCATCAGAGCCATTACCGCTTCAGCACCCATACGGCAACCCTAAAACGAAATAAATATATCAGAAGATTTGTTTTAGAACTACAGAAAATTCAACAATCTGTAAATAGCTACAGAACTAATATATGAGGCATGAGCAGAGCATTACTGATATTTATAGCCAATCATAACATAACATCACGCCTTTTTATCCCCGAACGGGTAGGCAGATGTGCACATTACGTCACTTAATGCCACTGTACAATGTAACACCCACTTTTCACTATTAATGTTATGAATCCCATGTAATAGGGGGTGAGCCTATTGCCATATATCGGGCACAATTCCGAACTCCGTGGTACTACTGAGATTTTTTAAAAACCCAGTAATACTTTGCTCGACCCGGGAATCGAACCCGAGACCTCTTGCCCGGCAGTCGCACTCGGTCAACGACGCAATCATGTCATACCATAGAATTATCTCTATTCTAGCTTACAGTCTTCTAGATATAATAACTATTTACTTTTACTAATAGGTACAATATGTTCATTTTTTCATTCGTATTCAGTAAGTACTTACTATACAATTTCCATACCTACATGGCGACAAGCATGTGATGATGTGATATCATGTATCAAGCACAAGGCTGAATGTAACAGTTGAATAGTTTTAGAAATACAATTTATCTTCATATAACATTGAGCATACAATATACAAAGTCATTTAAGTACAACAGAATTAAATAAATAGGCAGGTAAGTTGCAAGTTATAAAAAGAAGACATATTTCATAAATATAACGATCACAGGTAATCTTATTGAATATAGTTTCTCATCAAACGGTTACATGAGTTACATTACAATAATTTATTTATTTATTGAATATAGGCACTGATAAATTAGTATGACTTTCCTACACTAATTTATTTTCGACGCTAGCTTATCGTCAAGTTTATGGAAAAAATCTTATGTAGAGGAGGCATGCCAGGTAATACCTTATTGGAACAAAATTAACAAAAATGATGATAGGTAGTACTCACCAGGATCCTATCAAAGGCCGAGGGAGATCCTCCACGCTGTACATGACCCAGCACAGTGATACGCGTGTCCTGCTGCAGATTCTCCACGACAACATTCTTCACCAGCTCCGCAGTGATAGGCTTACCTTCGCGGTCAATGGCACCCTCCGCTACTATGATAATGTTCAAACGCTGCCCAGATTTCCTTTCCTACATCATCAAAAAACCATTAATAAAACTCCATTTGAAAATAGAATACAAAGCCAAAACATATAACACTTAAAAGTATAGGTATTTACTAATCACAAACACACAAAGAAATAAAGCAATTTAAAAAGTTAAGCATGCATGATACTCTATGATTAGGTATTTAAGAAGTAAGAACATAATGAATGCGAGTAGGTAAGTGAAGGAGTTCTAAATGTGCCATATATCGAAGAACATAGAAGCTGATAGCTGATAGATAAATAAAATATTACAAATAGCCGAAGCACCTCCTTAATCAAAAGTTAATTGAAATAAATTACTTTTACAGTCACTGTAAGTGGCTATAATCAATGTCGATTAGTCAGTTTGAATTAATCAAGAACCTACAGATGAATAGTAAAGCTGCAAGAAAATAAATATTAAATTTAAATTGCTTTTACTGTTGCAATGAATTAAATGACAATAACTCATTCAACCTCTATTTTACAGTGTATTATTACCTCATTGTTTTGTCATACCTATTTTACAATGTTGTATTGCTAAAATGTTAGTGTACTGACAAGATTTGATGTAGTCAAATTACTTTTGACCTCTGGTTGATCTTGTACAATCATTCACCGTTGTGAACATAGTTACATCATGTCCGTTTTAGTAGTGTAATAATGACGCAAATATACTTCTCAGAATATTTTCATCTAATACATCCATTCCATACTATATTATTTTGCATAAACATTTTAAAAAGCTTATTAAGAGCATTGTGTGTTATCATTCTACAGTGCTGCTCAATTAAGCCTGCATACCTGAGCCAATCTTTTGCAAAGCTTTTCGACCCAATTATTGGGAACAGGGTCCTCGGGAATGAATACTTGATCTGCCTCGCTCGCCAGAGCGGCCACTAATGCCAGATAACTGCAACAACCAGTGCCCGAAATGGTTCATGCAAATGCTCCCAAGTTATACTCAACAAATGATGGAAATTATGAAGTATCTTTTGGAATTTTAAATTTATTTGCCAATGGATCTGCCAATTCATATTGATGAATGATAAGACCTTCATGATATAAAGTGATCCTGCTCCCGTAGAAAAATAAATTAAGTCCTTGCCTCAGCTATTTTTGCACACAATTTTTTATCCCAATTGTTGGGCGCTGGGTCTTCGCAAATAAAACTATAAGTAGCGTCCGTACATAGTGCCGTGTAAACTGCAAGAAAACTAAAGGGATATTTGAATTATAGGAAAAAAAGTTAATGTAATGTTGTCGAGGACATTCTAATTGATGTGCGGAAAGGACTGAAAGATGAAGCCACAGCTTGCCTGTTCTAATTTATCACAAAGTTTATCTCTCCAGTCAACAGATGGTGGAGCTTCTGGGATAAACACAAAATCCGCTTCAGATGCCAAAGAAGTGACCACAGCAAGGTATCTAGTGAATAAACAACCATTAGAATATTGTAACGTGATATGAAATTGGCACACATCCATTAGATCTGGTATAACTGTTGAGACAATAAGCATTCACCTGTGATCCAATGATATAAAAATATAAGTTTATTCTGAGTACATGACACAGTCAATTCAGTAGTAGTAGAAGAACATTGAAAAGAATTAAAAGAACATCTTACCCACAATGTCTGCCCATGACTTCCATAATAAATGTTCTCTGATGGGAGTATGCAGTGCTTACAATAGCATCAATAGCTTCAATGATGCGGTGCAAGGCTGAGTCTGTGCCTATTGTCATGTCTGTACCACAGAAGTCATTGTCAATGGAACCCACCTAAAACATAAGGAAACTATTTTGTCATCCACCAGCCAGATATCATTTTATCTATTCTAATTTCTTCTACACTGTGTAATCCATCATTAAGGTAGGTAATAAAAACATAGTTACAAATTCATCAAGATTAGATATTCACCATTCCAGCAATGTGCAAGTACTTGTATTTCTCTCTCTGGTCTTTGGTAATCTTATTGTTTGCAAGTAATTCATCAAGCAGGCTTGACCATTCTTCACGGAACAAATTGGCACCAGTCAAGGAACCATCACCACCAATTACAACTAAATTGGTGATACCACGAGTTACTAAGTTGTAGGCAGCTTTAAGACGACCTTCTCGTTTTCTAAACAAAATAATTAACAATTTCAATAAAATATAATAACTAATGATTATTTTATTTTATTAAAATATATATTAAACTGTCAAACACCAAGCGGTCACCGGTGACCGCAACCTATTGTTCTTTAATTGTGTCTATAAATACGGTACTTGACAAGTTAAAATATATATAATACATTAAAATATAGATTAATTAATAAAGCTATTGCCTATTTTCTTAAAAAATATGTGAATAAAATACTAATTAATTGTATGTTAATATTGAAATAAACAATAATAACAATGATATTAGTAAGTAAATAAATAAAACCTACATGAACTCCATGCATCGAGCTGATCCAATAATAGTGCCACCTTTATGAATTATGGAACTGACAGAAGACCAGTTTGCCTCCTCAATGTTATCACCTCCGTCGACCATCCCTTGATATCCTTCACGAATAAAGTATACCTTGCAACCAAGGTAAATACCCATTCGCACTACTGAACGCACTGCAGCGTTCATACCCTGGGAGTCACCGCCGCTGGTGAACACAGCCAGGCCCTTCCCCTTGTGGGAACCGCGCCCAATAAATCTCTGGGTCGTAGCAGCTTCCATCGTTTATATTAATTTTATAATTTATCCCGACACCTACAAAATAATAATAAAGTCGTTTTTACTGATATTACATAACACAACACATGTATTTTATCACTATTCGTATCTTATCACTTCACTAAATATACAATGCTTTTTACCGGTAGCAAAATTATAATGTACATACTGAAAAAAAATTATTAAAATCACAAAATTCAAAATCTGAACTTCACCAAGGTGACCTTTGAATGACATGACAAGCAAATGTCATTGCTATTGCTATGGATGGAGATGTTGAGATTTTAAAGAGAGATGCAACCAAGACGATAAATCTTACATGAATATAATCTAAATTAATTAAATGTTCTGAGAAAATAAATTTATTAAAATTTTAAGTAAGTAACATAATGTTATTAATTTACGCCGAGTACACCACTTCATGGACGTGTGTAAAGGTAAGATAGTTCGATTTTATCATTAAAATAAATGTTTAGAAATCGGTCTTGGTTTAGAATTTGTATTTCAGCACGAAAATCATACAGTAATATTTTGGGGACCATAATTCACTACGACTGGGTAAAAAACTTATTATAAATAATAAAACACTTAAAAAATTTAAATAATAAGTATGATTTTTCATCATTATCACAAATCGCCTAAATATGTATTAATCGATTACGAGTTCATCAAACTAAGTCGCACTCTATTTTCTATCTCCCACAGAGCTTGGAATGGAGAACAGATTACCTACAAAAATACCTACAGCATTTACAGGAAGAAAAGAAAAATAATACAAAACGTTTTTGTAAAAGTGCATAAATCTGAGTTGTTATTGTTAGCACAGTGTAAAGTGTTTGTTTTCGATCAAAACAAGTACGAGATTAGTCTTCTACGTTATTCAATAAACAGGGACTCGTATTTGGGACATTTATGAATTGTGATCAATTTTACAGTGTATTCCGTCATCTTCATTCCATCACAAATCTAGCAAACGTACAAAACAATACAAGTAACAACATGTCTGCGGAATCGGATATGGAATATTCGGACAACGATGGAGACGACTATGATTACTATGGAGAACAAGATGACTGTGACATGGAGGCTGTGGACCGAACTAAATCGGACCCTGAGTATTTCTTATACACTTGTTTAAGAGTTGAAGAAGTGGAGAAGTTGTTAAATGAGTCTATAGAGTTGCTCAGTAATAGCCTTCAGATCACACCTTCACTGGCCAAGGTTTGTCTTCCGATGTTGTTGTTGATAGTAAATGTTGATAAAATCATTGTGTATCGTTCTAATTACGGTTCTAACTTGATGTGATTGTAGGTAACTCTCCATGCATATGAGTGGAATGCTCAAGAGATTATAAATAAGTATAAGGAGAATGCAAATGAGGTATTGGTGTATAGTCGTGTCAAGTCGCGTTCGCCAGTTCTCCAGGCGAGCACGAGCCGCTCCAGTTGTGCTGTGTGTGCCAACACACCTCCTATGCACAAATACAGTGCCCTGGCTTGTGGGCATTACTTTTGCAATGACTGCTGGGCTATGCACTTTGAAGTACAAATTATGCAAGGTAATGGGACCTAATTTTTGTTCTTCCAATGCATTTGTAAGTGTCAGTTTTCTTATATAGAATTAGATTATATAAAAATAAGAATGATAATGTAATACAATCATTTCTAGTCGGTAGATGTAGTAAAAATTGTACTTGAACTATTATGCCATCTTCCAGACTATGTGTGTGCCACAAAATAATTGGCCATTGTATTTACAAAAGGTTGTGTTTTTATACAACTACCTGACTATGCAACTATAAAATCTACCAATAAGAAGCCCAACATTTTTTGTCTCTGCTCTCTTTCTTTTTTTGTAATCTAAGGATCAATTTATATGTTTGTAGTTCAGTGAAATGTCTATGATTGTGGTATTTGCTACCTGATGTTCCTTTTGCAATATTAATCATTTTCCGTCAATCTATAGATTGATAAAATTGAAACATACAAAAAGAAGTGGTTGTAGGAAAATACATTTAGTGAAACACAGTGATAATATTATTTCACTTTTTACATGATGACACACATCAATCAGTTATTAAAAGTACTTAAACTTAAACTTTGTCCTTCAAGGAAAAGCAAAATAAGTTTTGTTACACAAAAATGCCAACCAATGTAAAATAATGAATCATCTTATGTTTCAGGAGTTTCAAATACTATTACCTGTATGGCTCAAGATTGTGAACTTAGAGCTCCGGAAGACTTTGTATTGTCCCATGTTACCAAGCCAATGTTGCGGGAACGATACCAGCAGTTTATGTTTAAGGATCATGTGAAATCACACCCAGAACTTAGATTTTGTCCTGGCCCTAATTGTCAGGTTGGTATATTTACTAAAAACATAGTAACACATAGTTTAGAACCTCCATCTGATAGTATTGACTCAATTGTACTGTGCATGGGTGCATTTAGTCCTCTTCAAGAGTTAAAGCGTCGTGGGGGCCGGAAGGTTTATGACGCCCGCTTCCCATAATTAATGCTCTCTCCATGTGAGAAGAGGCTTTGCTCAGCAGTGGGAATTAATAGGCTGTCGATGATGATGATGATTATGATGAATTAAAAGCATCTGTATTAACCAAAAAATATATTATTAAAGTATATTTTACTCAAGTTCTTGTTGAATCTGTTTCACAATCCTTATTTAATTTTTGATTATAGTCACTTATCTAGCCCTAGTTTTGAAAAATGTCGCGTCACGGTCCGCGCGTGCCTCAAGGAGCCATCAGACCACCACAGCTAAGACCCAACAGGGCTGATGCTAATACGGAGCCGCGGAAGACTTAATGTGTTGCCGGAGCTCCGGCTCGAAGTGCAAGAGTAGGAACGGGGTGATTTTTAGTCAGTAAGAGTCTGACACTCCCTCTCACCTCACCCGGGCGGGAGAAGCCATTGGATGATTTTCCCCTCTAAAAAAAAGTATTAAAAAATTTAATGTCTTTTAACAATTTTTTTTAAATTTATTCTAGTGGATATTTCGTGCATGGACTCGCGAAGGCGCCCGTCGTGTGGAATGTCAGGGGTGTGAGTTATTAACATGCTTTTCATGTGGAGCTCCACATCATGCACCAACCGACTGCCCGACTATTCGCCGCTGGTTAACAAAATGTGCTGATGATTCTGAAACTGCAAACTATATTAGTGCACATACTAAGGTATGACAAAATATTAATAATAGGACTATAATCCTTATCTACTTGTAAGTTGATAAGAAAGTTGTAAATTGTTTGTCTTTTCAGTAATATAGATAAATTCTTTATAACAGAAATATTTATGTATTTTAATCATGTCAATTTTTATTACAGGACTGTCCTAAGTGTCAGATTTGTATAGAAAAAAATGGGGGCTGCAATCATATGCAATGTGGCGCATGTAGACACGATTTCTGCTGGGTGTGTTTGGGAGACTGGAAATCGCATGGTTCTGAGTATTATGAATGTAGTCGTTATAAGGAGGACCCCAACATGTCCTCTGATAGCCAACATGCTCAAGTAAGCAATTGCAATAAGGTTCTGAACATATCTTCATCTTAAACATTCTTTTAAGGAATCGTAATATGCTCGTCACTCATTTATGCATCTCTTATTTTTAGGCTAGAGAAGCTTTAAAGAAGTATTTGCATTACTATGAAAGATGGGAAAATCATGCTCGATCTCTTAAATTGGAAGAACAAACTTTAGCTAGTTTGAAAAGTCGCATCAATCAAAAGGTTAGCTTAGTATTCAATTACATTGTTTGTAAGCAAACTTATTAGAATACCGTTTATAAACAAATTCAATTTGTTTTAAAACATACTGTCTGTTTAGGTAATGGCTGGAGAAGGTACTTGGATTGATTGGCAATATCTTTGGGATTCTGCCAAGTTATTAAAGCGCTGTCGATACACTTTGCAATATACATATCCATACGCCTATTACATGGAAAATGGGCCGCGCAAAGAATTATTTGAATATCAGCAAGTAAGTATAGCTGAACTTTCAACTAAAATAAACCTTTTTAAAGTGTTCTCGATGACTTATAGGCTTCGAGTTTGTTTTCCGATTGAATGCAGTAATGTTTCGATCTTGTTAAACTTAAAACACAGACATATCAATATTGGTGTTATAATTAGTGTGTGTAATAATGTTTCAGGCACAGTTGGAGGCTGAAATTGAAAATTTATCTTGGAAAGTAGAAAGGGCAGAAACGACTGATAGAGGTGACCTAGAGAACCAAATGGACATTGCCGAAAAAAGACGTACCACATTATTAAAAGATTTTTTGGAATTCCATACCACTACCGCATCTAGCAGCAAAGTATAAATATCTTCAAGATTTGTCATAAATAAATATAAATATATTGCGACAAACATTTGTATAATACATATTTGTGAAAGCTAGAATCTTTTTGTTCTGCCAAAGTATATTTATTAACATGACTTTGCAATAAAAATAGGAATATTATGTTGTTGTTTTATTTCGTGCCATTCATTTCATTTTCATATCGACAGCCTACTTATAAGTGCCTACTGCTGAGCAAAAGGTTCTCCTCACACAGAGAAGTTGTGAACATTATAATCACCATGCTTGCTCTAGGCACATATTTAATAACATGAGTGCAATAAAAACAGATATATATATGGTTGTGTAATTATTTCGTCCGAATAATTTCATTTTCACATCAACAGCCTACGTATAAGTGCCCACTGCTGAGCAAAGGATTCTCACACGGAGAAGTTTCGAGCAATAATCACCACGCTTGCTCTAGGCTAAGTATATTTATTAACATTTATAATTTATGTACACAAATACTACATAAAGGACAACACGTCATATAAAATTAAAGTGTGAAGGTACAACCTATTACTATTGGAATTTTCCGAATAATTTTATCTTCACACCAATAGCCTACCTCTAAGTGCCCACTGCTGAGCAAAAGCTTCTCACACGGAATAGTTTTGAGCATTAACCACCACGCTTGCTCTAGGTAAAGTGTATTTAATGACATGAGTGCAATAACAACAGAAATATTTTATAGTTGTGTAGGTACTTATTTAGTCCGAATCATTTCATCTTCACATTAGCCTACCTATAATGTGCCCACCGTTGAGCAAAGTCTTCTTCACACACGAAGAAGTTTTGAGCATTAATCACCACGCTTTGCTGTTGGCGGGTTGGCGATTACAAACTTATAATTAGAAATGGTCAGACGAGGTTTCCTTTCACTATGTATTCTCGATGCTGTATGTCACTGGTTTCTAATTAAATCATTTTAAAACGTAAGTACATAAGTACATTACTCGAAAAAGTCACATTGGGTTTTGCCAGGTTTCGAACCCGCACCCCGACAATCCAACAGATATATATTTCATCCATCATCCATATCTGGATACACATGTATTCAAAGAAAGAAACGTAATTAGTAGGAACTATCTATCACTAACTTCGAGTACCTACCTACCTTAGTAGGTAAATGGCGATGAAATGGATTGAATGGGAATCATCAAGACGTGAATGAAAACAGCAGAAACTTGTGTAGAACCTATCTATAGTATTGGGAAATTCTTCATTGTAAATATTTATTCTCTTCTTGATTATAATTTGACAGCCGTGTGCCCATAAAAAAGTGAGGCAAATCTTCCGTGAATGCTGCTCACCGGTGACCCTCATGGTATTTAACATGGTATTAAACGTGTAAATATAATATTAGTATGGGTAAAAAAGGACGCGTCGAAATTATTAATATTGCGCTATTATAAGTTTTGTTCTCATTTCCATATACATATTGATATCTAGTCTTTGACTTTTATTTTATAATAACTGGTTTTCCCTGGTAGGAACAGATTTGACAGACCATTAAACCATAATAAAATAAAAATTAAATCAAGCATGTTGCAATGCAGATAGTTTCGTATGATTTCGTATTCGTAAGATGAATTTTAAAATCTTATCTCATATTTATTACATACTAGCTTTTACCCGCGGCTTCGCTCGCGTCACAAAAGTATAAAAAGTAGCCTATGTGACATATACCAATTCATACAGCGCCATCTATACCTTTAATACTTTTGTTTTCCCTCGGGAATATCAATATCGGGATAAAAAGTACCCCTACCCTATTATTTAATCCAGACTTCTAACTTTACGTCTGCAAAAATTCAAAGCAATCGGTTTAGTAGTTACGGCGTGAAGTCGGAACAAACAAACAAACTCACTTTCCGATTTATAATATTAAGTAAGGATGCTAGCTAAGGAGGAGGCAGGACGCGTGAGGCAGCGAAGCGCTGCCAACTCGCAACCCAGCCATCGCGAAGGACACACTGGACGTCGGGGATCGCGGGACGATCTCCGGCCACCGTAAGCGCGGGCCTGCGGACGGCGAGCATGGGTGGCTCCCTGTACGACCAGATACAGAACTGAGCGTACGGCGCGCGCCTCAAAGAGCCATAAGACCACCACAGATGGGGTCCAATAGAGCCGATGCCGATTCGGAGTCGCGGAGAACCTAACGGGTTACCGGGGCTCCGGCTCGACGTGCAGGAAAAGGAACGGGGTGGTTTTAGGTCAGTAAGAATCTGATACTTCTGACAATCTTAAAAAAAAACTTAATATATAAAGCTAAAGAGTTTGTTTGTTTGAACGCACTTATCTCAGGAACTACTACCCCGATTTGAAAAATATTTTTGGTGTTGGGTAGTCCATTTATCAAGGAAGGATAGACTATAAAACATCACGCTACGATCAATAATAGCCGAACAGAGCGGTTAAAACTGCGCGGAAGTATCTAGTTAATTATATTTTTATTGTTGACAATAAGTTGAGGCTGATATGTAGGATGAAAATTTGCAACAACACGATGATAACTTTCTCTGCCATCTATGTTTAGAACTTTCATTAAAATTTACTCTTAGGTACAAGGATTAAATAATTAATTAATAAAAATAAAGGATTGAAAATTTTAAATCGACTAAGATTAAAAATATCGATATTCTGCCATATTTATTAGTTTACTAATTACAACTCTAGTAGAGGCTAGCACCACAGACCAAACCATTGTCTTAAAAAAAAACCATTGGTACTCAAATATACTTTTGGCTTTTGTGGAGCCCTAGGGTTTCGCAAAACCTATGTAGGGTCTCCATGAGAATACTAGTAATCTATATTAATAGTTTGTTCGAACGCAAAAAACTGAAGCTACTGGTTCTTAATAATTATTATATCTGTTGGATAGTTAATTAATCGATGAACGCTATAAACCTATAAAACATAACGCTGTGATCAAAATGAGCTAAGTAGCGGGTGAAAGTGAAAGGGTAGTAGCTAGTAACTACTAAAAATACACCTCTGTGTGATTCAACTCTATTCTATCAAACATAATAGGTATCAATTAATTACAAATCTGCTGAAATACTTGTTAGTTTGTTACTTTCATGCAAGTTTTATTTTAGTTAAATTTTTATTACAATTTATACCCCAAAGTGTTTTGTTGTATTTTGTATTTGTTTACAAATCTCTTAATTATAATTTTTGATGTTGCCTATATTATTTTACCAACAGTGTTTCTGGTTTCTTCAATGGAATTAGAATTAAGTTTTTTGTCGAAATTTTGTAAATTGTAGTATCAGTCATTAGGAGGAAGACAAGAAATATTTATAAAATATTTTTCTTTCGCCCTTTCGCTGTTCATAAGGTCTCTGTGAACAAACAAGTTTGAGAGCTGCTGACTAGACCATAGACAATAATAGACATCTTGTTTATGGGTCTCTTATATAAAAGGAAATCGAAACGAAAGCATCAGTCAGTCTTGTAGCCAACAAAATGGCTACCACGAATGATTCGAAGGCGCCTGTGCGCCAAGTTAAAAGAGTACAATTTGGTATATTATCTCCAGATGAAATCGTAAGTTATGTTTTCAGATCGTTTGTTTACCTACGGTTCGGAATATCATCTAAATTCTAGTGATTTTATGGTGTAATGCATGATTCATATCAACGTGATAAAGTGGCACGCAGTTGGTCTTGTGCTTGGCAGATGCAATTATTTGCCATAAGTTTCCTCAAAAACATTGTCCTTGTTGATGAAAGTAAAGTTTTAATGTTATTGTAGCGTTTATGGATATTCAAATATCATTTTTTTAAATACCATGTAGTTGGTAATGTTGTTGCACAACAATAATAATATATACTGTCTCTTAAGTGTTGTTTATTCTGTTGTTTCCTTAAACTTTCTTCACACTTGTTTGATCCTGATAAATACCACGGAGAGATCAAAACTAGAATCTTTTAATAATTACACCTTACTACAACCGATGCCACTGTTGTTTGTTTGGATATTGGCTGCAGTTTCAAGGAATAAGTATATTGTTCAAAATTCCACTGCAAGGTCAATTACCATTATAAGTGTTCATAATAATTCAGAAGGGTGCATATAAATCAAAATGGTTATACAAATGTCCATCATAAACAACTGTATTTGTATAAGGTGATAGAGATTGGCTCTTATCTGCAGTAAAGTATAATTGGGCTTGAATTGAATTTTATGTATAATTATTTGTTTTTGTTATAGCGACGGATGTCTGTCACTGAAGGGGGCATTCGCTTCCCTGAAACTATGGAAGGAGGTAGACCCAAGCTTGGTGGACTTATGGATCCACGGCAAGGGGTGATCGACAGGAGTTCGAGATGTCAGACTTGCGCTGGAAATATGACTGAGTGTCCCGGACACTTTGGACACATTGATTTAGCAAAACCAGTATTTCACATTGGATTTATAACAAAGACAATTAAAGTTCTGAGATGTGTCTGTTTCTACTGCTCAAAGCTGCTTGTCAGCCCGGTAAGTGGAGATCCTTGGTTTGTTTTATTTTAATATTGATAATTTGTGATTGAGACTTATTGTTGGACGATTTGTGTTTCAGACAAACCCAAAGATAAAAGAAGTTGTAATGAAGTCAAAAGGACAACCTCGTAAGAGATTGACTTATGTATATGACTTGTGTAAAGGCAAGAATATTTGTGAGGGTGGTGAAGATATGGATATCGGGAAGGAAGGTGAGGAGGGCAAAAGAGGCTCTGGGCATGGAGGTTGTGGTCACTACCAGCCATCTATAAGGAGGCAAGGTTTGGACCTCACTGCAGAGTGGAAACATGCCAATGAAGATACACAAGAAAAAAAGATTATTATTACAGCAGAAAGAGTGTGGGAAATCCTTAAACATATCACAGGTATGTTACTGATACTGTTTCTTTTAACTATAAAATGTATGTCTCCTGATATTCACTGCACAAATGTGAACATGATAACTTGTTACATATGAATCCCAACAAAGAACAAGTTGGTACTGGTTTTACCAGTGATGCAAATTATCAGTAATAATCTATTGTTATCAATTTCGTGATAATGAACTTTTATAAAAATATTACTGAGTATGGCCACTATTTGCAATATTATTTAGGAAATGTGTATTAGTTAGTATTAAGTTGTAGATTTTTAATTTGCACCTTTTCCTTATACTTAAGTACGTAATTCAAGTATGTAATTAATATTGTAAATGACTTGTTGACATGAAGTTTAATAACATTACTTTGCTTAGAACTAACTTAATCCACTTTCAACACATAACTTATTAAGTATAAATAAGGTCATGTGAATATTGTTATATTCCTAATTGTGTTACTTAGACAAGTCCCAAATTGTTTTTACTTATTTTGATTCTTTTCCTTTTAGATGAGGAATCATTCATTCTGGGTATGGACCCCAAGTTTGCTAGACCTGATTGGATGATAGTCACAGTGCTGCCTGTTCCTCCATTATCTGTGAGACCTGCTGTAGTGATGTTTGGTTCAGCTAAGAATCAAGATGACTTGACACACAAACTCGCTGATATCATCAAAGCGAACAATGAGCTGATGAGGAATGAACAGACTGGTGCAGCGGCGCACGTGCTCGCTGAAAACATCAGATTACTCCAGTTCCATGTCGCCACATTCGTAGATAATGACATGCCTGGGATGCCCAAGTAAGTAATTTTCTAATAGCTTATAATTATTGTAATGCACATTATGTATTAACAATAATGCGCATTTTGTAATAATCATTGATTGTGTGTTATTGTTTATACACAACAATTTGATTTTGTAATAATGATTACAAAATAGCTAATAAGCTAATTTACTGCGTATCTTTTGTCAATTAATTGAATATGTGTAATATATTTCTAAAAATATAATTATTATTCACTTTTCAGGGCCATGCAGAAATCTGGAAAGCCACTCAAAGCTATCAAGGCTCGTCTAAAAGGAAAGGAAGGAAGAATCAGAGGAAACCTCATGGGCAAGCGAGTCGACTTCTCAGCACGTACTGTCATTACACCAGATCCTAACTTGCGTATTGACCAAGTAGGAGTACCGAGATCTATTGCACAAAACTTGACATTCCCTGAACTTGTAACACCATTCAACATTGACAGAATGCAGGAGCTTGTACGCAGGGGTAATGCACAATATCCTGGCGCCAAGTACATTGTGCGAGACAATGGAGAAAGGATAGATTTACGGTTTCACCCAAAACCATCAGATTTGCATTTACAACATGGATACAAAGTTGAACGGCACTTAAGAGATGACGATCTTGTTATTTTCAACCGACAACCTACATTACACAAGATGAGTATGATGGGGCACAGAGTGAAAGTGCTTCCGTGGTCAACATTCCGTATGAATTTAAGTTGTACCTCTCCCTACAACGCCGATTTCGATGGTGATGAAATGAATTTACATGTGCCGCAGTCAATGGAAACAAGGGCAGAGGTTGAAAACATTCATATAACTCCTCGACAAATTATCACACCACAAGCAAATAAACCCGTCATGGGTATTGTGCAAGATACATTGACAGCTGTAAGGAAAATGACGAAGCGTGATGTGTTCCTTACGAAGGAACAAGTTATGAATCTTCTTATGTTTTTACCCACATGGGACGGTAAAATCCCACAGCCCTGCATTTTGAAACCTCAACCATTGTGGACTGGTAAACAAATCTTTACGCTAATTATCCCTGGTCCAGTCAACATGATTCGAACACATTCTACACATCCAGATGAAGAAGATGATGGTCCATACAAGTGGATTTCGCCTGGAGATACTAAAGTCGTTGTAGAGCATGGTGAACTGCTCATGGGCATTCTGTGTAAAAAATCACTTGGTGCTTCAGCAGGTTCTTTGCTACATATTTGCATGTTAGAATTGGGCCACGAAACAGCTGGTCGGTTTTATGGTAATATTCAAACTGTGATCAACAACTGGCTACTCCTAGAAGGTCACTCCATCGGTATCGGCGATACCATTGCCGATCCTCAGACCTACCAAGAAATTCAGCGCGCCATCGTCAAGGCCAAAGAGGATGTCATAGAAGTCATTCAAAAAGCTCACAACATGGAGTTGGAGCCTTCTCCCGGTAACACTCTTAGGCAGACATTCGAAAATCGAGTGAACCGTATTCTGAACGACGCTCGTGACAAGACTGGTGGATCAGCCAAGAAATCTCTTACTGAATACAACAACTTAAAGGCTATGGTGGTCTCTGGTTCTAAAGGTTCCAATATTAATATTTCTCAGGTTATTGCCTGTGTAGGTCAACAGAACGTTGAAGGTAAACGTATTCCGTTCGGATTCCGTAAAAGAACATTGCCGCATTTCATCAAAGACGATTACGGTCCTGAGTCCAGAGGTTTCGTCGAAAACTCGTATCTTGCCGGTTTGACACCATCAGAGTTTTATTTCCACGCTATGGGAGGACGTGAAGGTCTTATCGATACTGCCGTCAAAACTGCCGAAACTGGATACATCCAACGTCGTTTGATAAAGGCTATGGAGTCTGTCATGGTTCACTATGACGGCACTGTCCGTAACTCAGTAGGACAACTCATTCAGTTGAGATACGGCGAAGACGGTTTGGCGGGAGAAACTGTGGAGTTCCAGAATTTGCCCACTGTAAAACTGTCTAACAAGGCATTTGAAAAGAAATTCAAGTTTGATCCTTCAAATGAAAGATATTTGAAGAGGATTTTCAGTGAGGACATTATAAAGGAGTTGACAGAATCTGGTTATGTTATAAGTGATCTTGAGAGTGAATGGGAGCAACTTTGCAAGGACAGGGAAGTGCTACGTCAAATCTTCCCAACTGGTGAATCTAAAGTTGTACTGCCTTGTAATTTCAAGCGAATGATTTGGAATGCCCAGAAAACTTTCCATATCAACAAAAGAATGCCAACAGATTTGAGTCCAATTAAAGTGATATCGGGAGTAAAAGACTTGCTTAAAAAGTGTGTTATTGTAGCAGGCGAGGATCGTCTGTCGAAGCAAGCCAACGAAAACGCTACTCTGCTATTCCAATGTTTAGTGCGTTCCACTTTATGCACCAAGTTTGTGTCTGAAGAGTACAGACTTTCACAAGTAGCTTTTGAGTGGCTGATTGGAGAAATTGAAAGCAGATTCCAGCAAGCACAGGTAAACCCTGGCGAAATGGTGGGTGCTCTAGCTGCACAGTCGCTCGGTGAGCCCGCCACACAGATGACATTGAACACTTTCCATTTTGCTGGTGTGTCATCCAAAAACGTAACTCTCGGTGTGCCTCGTCTTAAGGAAATTATTAATATTTCCAAGAAACCTAAAGCTCCATCTCTAACAGTGTTCTTGACTGGAGTTGCAGCCAGAGATGCTGAAAAAGCCAAGAATGTACTTTGCAGACTTGAGCATACTACATTGCGCAAGGTGACAGCAAATACTGCCATCTATTACGACCCTGATCCACAAAACACTGTCATTGCTGAAGATCAAGAATTCGTAAATGTATACTACGAAATGCCTGACTTCGACCCTACAAAGATTTCCCCGTGGCTGCTGCGTATAGAGTTAGATCGTAAGAGGATGACTGATAAGAAATTGACCATGGAGCAGATTGCAGAAAAGATTAATGCTGGATTTGGTGACGATTTGAACTGCATTTTCAATGACGACAACGCTGAAAAGCTTGTGCTGCGTATTAGGATTATGAATAATGAAGAAAGTAAATTCCAAGATAACGATGAAGAGACCGTGGACAAAATGGAAGACGACATGTTCTTGAGGTGTATTGAAGCGAACATGTTGTCTGATATGACTCTACAGGGTATAGAGGCTATAGCAAAGGTGTACATGCATTTACCAAAGACTGAAGCGAAGAAACGCATTATAATAACAGAACAAGGAGAATTTAAGGCTATAGCCGAATGGTTGTTGGAAACTGATGGTACTTCATTAATGAAAGTACTTTCGGAAAGAGATGTCGACCCTATTAGGACCTTCAGTAACGACATTTGCGAAATATTCCAAGTACTGGGTATTGAAGCCGTGCGAAAGACGGTAGAGAAAGAAATGAACGCTGTGTTGCAGTTCTACGGTCTATACGTGAACTACCGACATCTGGCCTTGCTTTGTGACGTTATGACTGCCAAGGGTCATCTTATGGCTATCACTCGTCACGGTATTAATAGACAAGACACCGGAGCTCTCATGAGATGCTCATTCGAAGAAACGGTCGATGTATTATTGGATGCTGCTAGTCATGCTGAAGTAGATCCTATGAGAGGCGTGTCTGAAAACATTATCATGGGACAACTACCACGCATGGGAACTGGTAAGTGTTACTTAAATATGCTTGATTTAATACTTTCATTATTTGATTTGTGTTGAATTCTGATGAAACTCTTCTTTTTAGGTTGCTTCGACTTGTTACTTGATGCTGAAAAATGTAAACTTGGTATGGAAATGGGTGGTCTTGGTGTTGGTGGAGTGGGAGGTGGCATGTACTTCGGTGTCGGCACTCCATCCATGACACCACTGATGACACCGTGGTCCACACAGAACACTCCTGGATATGGAAGCAGTGCATGGTCACCAGGCCAAGGTAAGAATCGTAATGTTGTTCTCACATAATTTAATATACACACTAAACAATATTACCAAGAATTGTATTGTGAACCTGATTGAAAAAGAGTAACCTGTAGAGTTTTTTGCTCGTTCTTCTCTGTAGGAATTTACACTTTGGAAGAAGCAATTTCTAATCTTACTTTGTACTTTGTTACAGTGGGAAGCAGTATGACACCGGGTGGTCCATCATTCTCGCCATCCGGAGCGTCCGATGCATCAGGTCTATCGCCAGCGTACAGCGCGTGGTCTCCGCAACCGGGGTCCCCCGGCTCCCCCGGCCCTCCACTGTCGCCCTACACATCTCCCGCAGGCGCTTCACCATCGTACTCTCCTACGAGCCCAGTGTACGCACCTGCCTCTCCCAGCCTTACACCAACGTCGCCGCATTATTCCCCAACAAGTCCATCATATTCACCGACTTCTCCAAACTATTCTCCAACGTCGCCAATATATTCGCCAACATCGCCGAGCTATTCTCCCACGTCCCCGGGATATTCCCCAACATCGCCTTCTTATTCGCCGACATCACCCAGTTACTCTCCCACTTCACCGAGCTATTCTCCAACGAGCCCTGCGTATTCACCAACATCGCCCAGCTATTCGCCGACATCACCAAGCTACTCGCCAACGAGTCCGTCTTATTCACCGACAAGTCCGTCATATTCACCGACCAGTCCAGCATATTCTCCCACATCGCCGGGATACTCGCCTTCTTCCCCGAGCTATTCTCCAACCAGTCCAGTGTACAGTCCCGCTTCACCCAGTTACTCGCCGTCATCACCGAACTACACTCCTACGTCGCCGGCGTATTCACCAACGAGTCCCTCTTATTCTCCGACTTCACCCGCATATTCCCCAACTTCTCCAAGTTATTCACCGTCCTCACCTAAATATTCTCCTTCACCCAACTACTCTCCTACATCACCATCTGTGGCAGGAAGAAGCCCTACTTATTCCCCGACCAGCCCACAGTACTCGCCTACGAGCCAACAGTACTCCCCAACGAGTCCTGCATACTCACCGTCGTCTCCCCAACACCCGGGAAGCACGCGCTATTCACCCTCCTCACCAAATTATTCACCGTCTCCGAATTACTCTCCTTCCTCCCCGGGATATTCACCATCATCGACAAAGTACTCCCCAACCTCACCAACGTACACCCCGACCTCGCCCAACTACTCCCCATCATCCCCCGCGTATTCCCCGTCCTCTGCTGGACCTAGCACATATTCTCCAACTTCACCTACATACTCTCCCACTTCACCTAACTATGATGATGGCGACGATTAAATTAATTAATTTTTCTTTTTCTTTTCTACGTTATTATTTTACTTTACGCTATGTTATTACTATTTGTAAATATTTTTACCTCCCTTTTCTAAGCGGAGAATTAAAATACATAAAACATGAAAAAAATGTACTGTTAGTAAAGTAGGCTAGGTTAGTAAATATATTGTGTAATATATTCTAAGTTTATATCAAAAATACATAAAAACAATTACTTATTTCTCGTATTTTTTAATTACCTTTCTGTCGTGCTTCTTTATTTTAAGCGTTAAGTGTTTGTCAATACAGCACTATTTTAAAAGATCGCTTGTTATTGACTTTAAATTAGTTAAGTAGACTAATTTGAAATTAATTATTATGTAACACCGTACGGTGATGAACATATAGTATGTTCGGAAACATTTTGTTATGCATTTTGTGGTGGAAAAATAAAGTTACACAAATAATATGACGAACTTTTATTTTATTGTTACTGACCCAGTATTATATTATCAATAATACATACTACAATTATCTTAAGAATTTCAAATAGTTAAGTAAAAAAAGTAACAAATTACTTGGGGCATTGAAATGTTTTTGGGGTTTATAATTAAGAATTACAAAGATAAAAAGTGAGATAGATAAATTAATGGAAGGGTTTCATTTCTTAGGATGACAACATAAAGAATTACAAACCTACTATCTACATTACTCTCTAGAGGTATATTAATCTTAGGACACTTACAAAATACAAACCATTGTGCTTTTAAACCTCGAACACAGCCATTTTATTTATATTACTTAATACTTACGAACTAAGCCTGATCAATTTATTATTAGGTTATTTTCAGTAAGTTTGCCGCAACATATTTTACTCATACGTCACTATTCTTCGACACAACTCAATGGTAAATTCATGTAAATATGTGCTGAATCGGTCTACGTATTAGCATCACTTATTATAAAACGTCACCTATTATTAAGAAAAAATACAAATAGGTATCTAATGAGTATTATGGAAGCCGTTTTGAAGCAATTCTGTTTGTACTTAAAACTAAGGGTTTGATTTATTTTCCTCGATATATTTCTATGATGCGATCTTGGTCGACGTACTCGAAGATGTGTGGCGCGTCCATGAGAATGCCGACCGTACCTGCAGTCGTCACGATGAAAAAGATGTACAGCTGCAGCCTGTCGATCACCATCGCTACGTACTTCCAATCTTCACGCGTCTGTAGAATAAGAAACGACGATTAGTCAGATTGAAGATCGTCTAGGAGATAGTATGTGAGACAGATTGATTAAAATTGTACGAACATTAACAAACAATTCTCACTTGTTTGTGTAAAAAATGACTAATTGATACTTAAAAACCAAATGAAGTTTCAAAACTTGATTTGAGATATTTTAAGGTAAATCTTAAATTGTAAATTAACACCAACCTGAATGTAAAGATCTTCATTACGTAAATGTTCTGCGATGAACTCTACAGCTTCCGTAGCCTTCGCAGCCTCGGGCGACAGCAGCAAAGAGTCGGAGCTCTCCGACTCCCTCCTCTCTCCTCCGAGACCGAGGCCCCCAAGGGCGCCGAGACCACCCAAGGCGCCGACCTCACCGCCGCCGGCTGCTCGGTTTATCTTGCAGTTCGGGTGGTGTAGGTCCGACATCTCCATCGCCTCCATTTTGCTTTGTTTTGCACCAATCGCACTAAGAAGTTAGTATATTCACAAGGTTCACAGGTTAGAGAGGGTTGACTAGTGTCTACGGAGAGGTTTTAGGTGTAAACGTACCTGATGTGTTTAGGCAGGTCGTGCGGGGCGGCTGCGTGGGGCGGCGCACCCATACCAGGCATTTCCATCATCCACCGCAGTCTCGTTTTACGTGGACGACGCATGAGGAGCCCCGTCGGTAGGTAATGAAGGAAGACACTTCGGATCCATAGCGGCATTCTGCAGAATATAATACATTTATTTAGGAAGGTATTTTAACTATACACTAAACATTTAACCTTTGATTTAGGTAGGAACATTTTATTACCGGTGTGTTCTTGGTCCTCTAAAGTTCCAGTTGATAATGATGACAGTGACTAGAATACTGACGGTGTTCATGATGAAAGTAAAGAGAAGGTACTTGGCAATCAGGGGTAGCACTAGAGAGGTCGGCGGGAGAATCTTCGACACCAGTAGCAGGAACACAACCAGTGACAGCAAAATGCTAATACCCAACGTTACCTGAAAAGAAACATGGTTGAATGAAAAAATATGGATTTAATGTGATAGTATTACACTCATTAACCGATAAAGTATTATACCTTTTCACCAGCTTCGGCGGGTAAATAGAATACCAAGACGCAGAGGAATGAAATCAATACTGTTGGCAGGATCAAGTTGACAGTGTAGAACAAAGTTTTTCTCCTGATTATAATGTAAAATGTAATATCAGTTTCAGTAGGGTGGTTCCCTTCATAAATATTCAGATAAGCTGGCACTTCGATAATGTCCCAAGTACCCGACTTCCAGTAGTCGGACAGATCGACAAAGTTCTTGTTGTTGTATAAAGCGAGTGATACTTGATCGCCGTTGAAGGTCCAAGATCCGAATTTCATGATGCAAGTTTGTTGATCGAAGGGGAAGTACGTGACGTCAATTGTACACGAGCTCTGTAAAAGAAATGAAATATACATATAAGTACTTAACAAAAGTAAATAAATAAATTGGAAATATTAATTAATGGTCATAACTATTGTACCTGATAAATAGCTGGTGGTACCCACAGCACTTCACCGTTGGGATAGATCAGAACGTTCGACTTGTACCGCACCTCGTAGTTACCGTCGGCGCTGAAATATAGCATAATGAATAGATTTAAAAATCTAAAAAAACCTTTTTTTATACAATATAACGTCATATCCTTTAATTTCTGAAGGGAGTAGACTCCCAATGTAAAACACCCTCTTTGACCAGTTGTACTATTACTTATGTACTTATCTCACGTATCAAGGGGTGAACCCATTACCATACATCCGGCACAAATTCAGATTCTGTGCTATTACTGAACATTTTCGAAAGGCTAAAGAACCATCCGATGATAAAATGACAGTCCCGGGAATCGAACCCAGGTATTAAGTACTCGGCAGTCGCATTTGCGGCCATTCAATCGATGATATAATGTTTTAGTAAGAATTTACGTACTTGTTGAAGAGTACAATGTCTGGTTTCCAGACTTTGTCGGGCGGCAGCCGCAGTACTCCTATGCCGCCGTAGTCAGCCTCGTCCCACATCAGCTGGTAGTCCATCCATACTAACCGGAGCCATACGTTCGATTTCATGATCTGATTCTTCTCGTTCTGTAACAGAACGTAACACGTTCAAGTGTAATGTCGTTGAAAATCTGCAAAAGAAACTACTGAGTCTCGGTTCGACTCCCATGCAGGGCAAAATCAAGATTTTCGATTTCAGAATTGTCAGTGCCAGCATACTTTCCATACGACTACTGGAGAGTTATTATATTGATATACAACAAAATTTACCCGTGTTTATTGCTTCAGCGATAAAAGGTGTGATGTTATGCGAACTAAAAATATCACTATACCCTAAAAACCATGTAAAACGATTACGTTTCAGATCAATAACTATCAGACTTCAACTAGAAAAATTAAAATGAGTAATGAATACGTAAATTAGTAATACATACAACATTAATAAGCTGTACGAAGGCTAATCCGAATCGCACGTCGACTTTCTGAGTCATATTTTGTACTGGGCGGATCAGTTTGTTGTAACCACGGAACAGGTCGCGGACCAAACGCTCCTCGTCTTCGGAACACCATCCTAGAACAGACACATGTGTATTATGTATTTAAATTATATAATTACACCAGTAAATACATTACAAAATACGTGACAATATTTAAATAGAAACTCATTGAGTCTGATTACTCTGAGTAGAAATTCCGAAACAATTGCAGAAATTCTTGATTTTTCCATGACTTAAAATTAATAAATAAATGAATAATATAATTAGTTAATTTTGTTGTCACATTATTTTATTCAAGAATCATGTTGTATTTGCTTAAATAACGGTTTGTTAAATACGAGCTTTAATTACATTATCAATACTAATAGTTCAGCTTTTATGTTGTTAATTATTTCTTATATTTCCAGTTCACAATAAACGATAAATGAATGCTGAAATAAAATTATTTATTCAATAATCTAGTACCATACACAAGTACATACTACATAGCTATATTTAATTGAATATTTAACAACTCTAATTTGCTAACATTACAACGTACGCGTTTATGTCTTTGACATTGAGAAAAAAGAAAAGCAAATTGGAAACCAGGTTTAATATGGAATCCAGATTAGATACGACGAGCTTTCAATACACAAATATATATATACACATTACGATTAAGTTTCCTTCATGATACATACACTCGTTATCAAAATTATTAAGATACAGTAACATGTATCCTGTATTTGTAGGAGTATAAAGTATTAAAATGATTATAAATGGCTTTGATAAGGCTTTTCCGTAAGTTCAGTAACGTGTCAAGCATCCGTAGCCGAGATGCTGCTGTGACGACAGATCAATAAAGAGCGAACGTGGAGATAACGTTGTTTAGGAACACACTTCTCCATTGTTAACACATGTTTTATCTTACAATTAAATACTGTTAACATACTCAAGTAACGTATTAAGTAAGTTAATAATGAAGTAATTAAACTTAAGTAGTTATTAATTCGGAAGTAATATTTTCAAGATGTCCATTTACCAAACACTTGATTAATTATAGCTTGTTTAGATATATGTTACAAGTGTTATATGTTATAGTCGTCCTGTGATTAGTATATAACTTGCATATAATTTGTTTATATGATTCACTATTTACATAGCTAGCCGGTAGCGCCCGTCCATGAGATAGGTGAGAAAATGGTGTGAGTTATTGAGTGTTGGATAAGAGAATGAAGGTGTAGTGAGGTGATTTGGTGTGGGTATTGTTTGTATATTGTACCTGAGTAGAGTAGTGTGAGGATCGCGGTGAGCAGGAGGAAGGCGCGCGACCCGCCCGACATGGCGGCGGGCACTGCCGCGCGGGGCGCATCCAGGCGCGCGCCGCGCATCCCGCCGCGCCGCGCCACACCCCGCCACATTCCCGAGTCCTCCCGTAGCGCCCGCCCGCCCAACTCTACCGCCCTGTGCACTAATGCACCCTGAACTTATTTTTCTACTTAATACTCGTATTTCATACCTCATTTTTCTAGAAATGGAAGAAGACATATTTAGTTCATTCGTTTCTATCAAGACTGTCACAAGAACCTGTGCACTAGGTGGTTAGGTGTCATATTTATTTCAGCTGTCCAGAAAATATAAAATCTTTAAAAGCAATGTAGTAAACAAGTTATTTATTGATTTTGGTTTGCCCATAATATTGTTTTGAAACTAACGGCTATAACGTAGCAAACAGTAATTTCCATTTCTCATTTTTGCTACAGTGTTGATTTCAGAAATAGACAGTTATTCTGGAAGTATTTTATTAATTTAATACTTTCCTATGCTCGGCAACATTCCACATCTCAGAAACTTTACGGGTATTGACGGGGCAAAGGAGATTCTAGCAGAAATTAGCTGTTGATGTGCGCATGTGCAGTTATCCCGCGGGATATCATCGATTGGTCCGCCGGCCGGTACGTCGCCCGCTGCGACGCGGTAATAATATGTAGGTCAGGGATGATTTACATAACTCGCAGGGTCCCGGTGGGAGACCTCACCACATATAGTACTCTACTTTGATTACATTTTGGAGATATTATTTATGGGGATCTATTCGGTGGCGTTATCTTGACTCAGACATTCAGATAGTTTGTTCTTCTTACACATAAATAAAACACGGTTTTGTTTCATTCGTTTATATTTAATAAACAAAGTGCAATTCAGAGTTAACCCTAACAATTGAACAAATCTTGGGGACAATGGGTTGTCCCATTGCCGACGGAGGGATGCCGCACAAAATTCCATCTAGTACAAAGATGAAGCCCGCGTTTGCAGGGCTGCGGCTCCACCGTCCGGGTCGTCACACAACCTCTAGCGAATGGTAAGAAGATATAACAGTAAATAAAAGGATGAGCAGAAACATTGACTTATAATCATATCCGGTCCGCAACTTCCATCGGACCGTCTAAGATTACTCACAGCATTGCCTCGAAAAAGGAAAACATTACAGGAGCTTTGCGAGGGTACATTCGCTTGTCGGGTGTACCCGCACATTCTCGCTGTTTACACTACGTTTTCCTTTTAGGAGGTTCACAACGTTTCTGGGTGAAATGAACATCGATGACTTAGAACAACTAAACGCAACAATAGATGATGACGGAGCCGATAACTGAACGTGTTGCAAGTATGTGTCGGAGTGTGGCAGACGAGCGGCAGGACTGTCGACTGGTCAGATGCTCAGGATATAGTCTACCTGTATTATCAACTGATCGTCTCTTCTGTTAATAAATAGGCACCTTTGTGTATACCCTCTATGTAACGAAAAACCGGTTCATGTTACAATTTTTGTACTTATAAAATGTTGTATATCTTACAAAATGAGTTATATATTACATGTAATCGTCTGATACGATGGTCGTACATTTTGAATAATTTTCGAAGAAGAAAATTTTAGAAGCTAACATTATTTCCAGCATACGAATTACTGTAACTGTATGGAAAGAAGTACAAACGTGATATTTATATGTAATTTAATTATTATTTGTAAAAGTCGTTCCGAAAGACCCAGATATGACTTTATTAAAATAATATTTGTTTAACTACAACTTTTAACGAACGATTATTAAGCTATAGCCATGGGTATTTTACCATTTATAACAATATCGACCCGTTCACAACGAGGCATATCACAACCTGTACCAATTGAATCAACATTGTTTGTAAAGTTCTATACTAGCTACTGACACAAATATATCCGAAAATAAAACTAGGGATTATAACCACGATTCATGGAATCGAACAAGAAGGAAACAAAGGGCCATTGTTTCACCGCCCAAACTCTAAACTGTACAATAGATTTCAAGAATCGAAGAAGTTCTAACAAAGTTTTAAATTTAAATGCGAATTCAGGTCGTTCAACGGTAAGAAGGAAGACGTATTTGTGCAAATATTTTCTGCCGCAGTCTTGTCTAGTGGGTGGCCACTTGCTGCGGTGACTATTCTAGCGCAGAGCTCGCACCGCGGCGGCGTGGCGGCGCTGGTGCCTGTGTAGCACGTACTGCCACTTTATCGCTAGGGGATCGTTCCGGAGACGGAACGTCTGTCAAGGAAACGCTCGTTCAACTCGAGTACATACCCTAAGGGATTGACCGGGTCTAGAGTACGGGATTGATTCCACTGAGCGTGACGACCGTTTGTCATAGTATTCTTGGAAGAAAAGGTATACAATCGCTGAAGTTCTCAAGGGATAAGAAGACATTAGTCAGATGGGCAGTTATTTCTTGAACGTACAGGGTTGGCAGTCAGCGGTAACTTATGTCTACAGGGGGGCGCGGGCGACGAGGCAGGCGGCGGCAACTCCAGCGCCGCGGCGTCAACGTCCGCGCCACTTCGCTCATCACAACTTAACAAATATTCGCGGTATCACAGAACTTTTCGCATGCGCATCCGCAAGCGGGCGGGTCGCTACGACACCATGATGTGCGGCGCGGACAGCAGCACGGCTAGCGTGGCGATGATTGTGAACAGGGTAAAGATAATAAGGCACAGTCTGTCCACGACCATGGCGGCGAACTTCCAGTCGCGCGAAATGTCCGCATCCTCGTCGTCCTTGCGCATCTGGAAAATATAACGTCATATTAAACGACTGACTACGCCACATCACTCATCACGATATGCAACAAATAAAGAAGGTCGGTGAGGTTACCTGGTCTGTGATGACTCGGATCTCCTTCAGAATGAGGGAGAGCTCGTAGTCGACACCGAAACAACTGTGTGCGGCCAATCCCGCGCCGTTCTCTTCACCCGACCTGCAACAAGTACGCTCTGTAGACAGCGGCTACACGTGTACCCTATACTACAGGTGGAGCCGAGGAACGAAGGGCGCTACGGGAGTTATGCCGATTAGATGTTTAAAGACCAGACCCAGATACAGAAGTAACTATTCGAAAAGTGAAAATTTATGCAATGGCCCGTGAAAGAGTATGTTGATGTTGAATGTTTTCGAATACTCGTGATTTAGCTGTTAGGGTCGGGTTATACTGCGGAACGTTCGAGGCTGGGGTGAATTATCGTAACCGTGCTATTTACGGCGAGTAGTGTTCGTGTAGATCGTCGAGGGACCTGTAGTATCGACAGCATTGGGGCTGCTGTGCTTGCGGGTGCCGGAAGTCGTCATCGATATCGAGTACGTTCGCAAGGAGCGACTTGGAAGAGCGCTCGCGCAGCTCTAGGTCGGGCGGCGGAGGCACGCGCGCCGGCGGGGGCGTCGTGGCGGAGCCCGGCCGAGACATGCGCAGCACCCACGGCAGCCAGTACAGGAACACGCATCGAATCTGGATAAAGACAACCTCATTATAGAAAATGTTTCCTAAAACATTGTAAATACATACTAGAAAATTTGGTCAATACGAACCCAATCACTCATCTCGTGTGTATCTGCGTGCCTATGATGGTAATTGAGAATTAGGATTGTGGAGACGACGGATGATGCCACCATAAACATGATGCAGTTGAAGTAAGTGCCGAGTAAGGGCACAGCATCTGATGTCGCTGGCATTGTCTCCGCTACCATGTTGAGGAACACCGTCAACGACAGCAATATCGTTACACCTGGGTACGATAATTATTTTTAAACATTTCTTTTAATTAAAAGTAAAAGAGAAACCACTTAAACTGTCTAATATGCATACTGTACCTAATGACAATTTTTCGCCAGAATCTGGAGGCAAGGTGAACCCCAACAAAGCCATGGAGGCAATGAGCACGCAGGGCACGATCAGATTGAAGAAGTAGTAGAGCGTCTTCCTCCGGATCACCACCGCGAACGTGATGTCGATGTACGGCTCCGGACAGCAGTTGTAATAAATCTCATTGCGCTTGCCGGGCACTCCTAAACAATAACAATAAAACACAATCAAGTTTCGTCTATCACTTCTAAAAAAAGCATTTTAATCCGACGAATCTCAATTTAAAATAAAATGATTAATGTGTTAAATTAAATAAAATTGACTACATTAAGATGAAGGCATTTAGATAACGACGAATAGATGCTTTCAAAGATGATACCTATTAACTCCCATTCGCCATTCGTGACAAAACTGCTTATATCTCCACCTCCCTCATCTTGTAGCTGTAGATCCAACTGCAAGGAAGAAGAACAATACAGGAGCTAATCTTAAAACTCATGACAGACTATAGTCATTTATTTTGTAATGTTATGGACCTGATATCCATCATAAGTCCAGCTGCCAAACTTCATTTCGCAACGTTGGTCGTCGAAGGGAAACCAGGTGATGTCGATTTTGCATGTGCTCTTGAAGATGCCAGGCGGCACGTACAGGCACGAGCCGTTGTTCCTCACCACCACGTTCGTTGGATACGTGCTGTCGAACCCTTCGTCCGCGCTGTGCAACAAAAACATCAATAATGTATAAGACCACATAACATGGCATAAAGGGCTATACTATAGAGCTTGTGCCGATGAGGAACTTCTGTATGCTGAAGATAAAATCAATGCAAGATTCTAAAAAAGATCCAATCAAAACTTTAATCAAATTGTATCATGCACGTGGTAAAATTTTATCAATATAGAATCCCTTTACAATAGAATCCCAAGTTGGGATTCCCAACATAGATTCTTTATATTAAATAACGAGTCACTACAATCGGATAACAATTTCAGCAGGACCATTGGGTATTTATTAAAATAATATTTACTGTTACGTAGTCTATTATATTCTTTGAAACTATTATAAAATATCTTTGTCAGCGTTAATGTATGGTTATTCTGTTTACCATCTCATTAAAAGTACACAAATGCTAGCTAAATTATTTTCAAAGAATACTTTAAAACGGTAAGATTGCCAAGTTAAACGATCTATTTGAAGACCTTACAAACGGGTTAGTTGAAGAAGTTTCAAGAAATTGAAAACAAGTGACAATGTTCCCAAAGTTTCGGAAAGGGGCTGTCACCAAAATGTTTAAGTTCAAAGTCTAAAATTACGTTTGGGACTTAAGTCGACGAGAGCACTTCAGGTCTTAAAAGTCTATCATGTTTTAAATGGTAATACGACAGTGATTGCGGTTCAAAAGTTCTTTAGAGGACGAGGATTTTATTTATAGAAAATGCGTCCCAAAATATTTCATGACACGTCAAAATAATTAAGTTGTACTGGGTTGGTTTGTGTAGATGAGTAAGTGATTCCTTTGTAAACGGGTCCCTAACTTCTTATTATTACTATCTTAATCGGAAGTGATAGGTGGAGTTCTATTAGTGAATTTAATATGAACACTTTTATCACTAATCAATAATTGAATTGGCTAAAGATTTATGAAACAAAACGAACAAAATATCTAAAAAACAAGGTCATTGGTCTAAACTTCTCAAGCAATTACGGCGAAAAAAATATACTTTCGCTTCAACATTGATGGATGAACAATTTAATTAACAGTACCTTTATATTTGAACGATTGAAAACTATAAAACATCAATCTTTACTTAAAACTATCGAGTAATAAACATACTTAATGTTAATCTTTATTTTTCATCAATGGCTAAGAATAGTAATATATATGGGCACTTTCTAATCCCAAATACATATTTTTAGTGTTTTGACATAAACAACAATTAGACCTGGGTTCGTCTCACGAGAATTTAGAGGTAATTATTTTTGACACGCTTATCTGAAAGTAATAAAACGGACGCAATCACTGTAATATAAATATTTACTTTGATGAAGTTCTGCCAGACACGTGGTATTTATGTACATTGTATCCTTAATGATGTAACAAATCAGATTTTATACGGTTATCAAATTGTCAAATTGCTATTACATATTCCCGCAGCAAACCTTATGCAATATAGCAGTCCGTATTCGGACTTAATTGTTCTTGATTGATATTGCTCTTAATTTCGCTCTCGTATCCGTCTACGATTCTAGTATAACCCCGATAAGGTATTTAATTGATCAAAAATACACAAACATTTCTTAGGTAAGACTATATATACCTGTTGTACATAAGGACGTCTGGTTTCCATAGTCTGTGGGGCGGTACTCGTAAATCTTTGACCCCGCCGAAATCCGAAGTGTTCCATCTCAAGTTCATATCATTCCACTCCTGGATAAACAAAATATCGCTACATTTACGTAATAAAAACAACGTAACACTTTAAGAACAGACGGTAACACAATCATTAAATCTCATTGCAATGCAATCATTATTAATTACTTTCTTGTTTCTCTACACATATGACTGTATAAAAAGCTGATACTCACTAGTTTAAGCCAGATGTTTGTTATTAAAAGCTGGTTCTTCTCGTCCTGTGAACATGAATTTGTATTTTATTGCTACTACTCTGTCCCGTTTCTACATAGTTTGAATACGAATTAATCATTATTATACTGTGAGAGTCGGTCAACAAGGATCATAGAAAAACGTGTGTACGAACTGGTTTCAGGACGTCGTTTTGACAAAAACTTTCAATAATGTTTGTGTGGACGCACACTATTGAAGTTGTGTGTTCGTGTGCACTTAAAATGTGAGGACATATTTAGAAGACTTGATTGGTTAGTTGGCTTAATCGTTTTTGAAGTCGCTCGTACCATGGTAGTTTATTTATTGAACGGTACATTTGGATAACCATGAGAACACTATCAATCTTGTTGTAGATTATGTGGACGTGTAATGGGAAATGTTTGCGTGTATTTTGCTAGGAATGCTGACCACGTCGATGATCTGCATGAGCGTGAGGCCGAAGGAGAGCTGCAGCGGGTCGCTCTCGTTGACGACGGGCCTCTCTAGTACGTTGTAGTGGTCCAGTAGGTGGTGCAGAAGCCGCTTCTCGTGGTACCCGCAACGTGCCCCTGTGCGCACAAAATACCCACCGGTTATCGTCATGTAAAATTACCAAAATTATTGGATGTAGACTAAGAAGACAACCTATGAAGAACATTGGTTTAAAAACTTGATTTTTCCGCGAGATATTCTGCACCAGTATCGGGATAGTGCAATAAAAAGATTTTGAACATTGAGGGTCGTCTGGTCGTTTGATCTCGTCACGTACGGCCAAAACCCCTCATGTCACGTAGTTTAAGGACCCTGATTGCTTCTTACAAAGGATTTTTAGCCAGTGATTTGAGAGTCGTGTGTCGAATATCGAACATTTTACAGTCGGACTTTGACCGAACTGATCTCAAGATTTTTGGAGTGCTGTTTAAAAAGAATGTGTGAAAATAATATAACTATGGTTTGTTATTTTAATAGAATATATATTTTTATTATTTATGCATATGTGTACTGAGGGCTTTGTATTTCTTTTTATATATTGACAACAGTAGCATTCTCCAAATAAATCTACAACCTTCTTTTTTTTCTTTTTTAATCATTCTAATCATGAATTAGATACTTCTTTTTTAATCAGCTGTGCACAAAATTTACAAACTTAAAAACTCAATTTATGCAACAATTAGCTACATGACTTTGTTTGATTAGGAATATAAGCAATTTTGTTTGTCAAATGTACATTTATGAGTTCGGTATTTTCAGACATTGTGGCAGTGTAACAGTGCTTGTATGCGGTGTAATAATAAAGGTTCTCAGAATTTGATGTGCTGGCAGGTGGTGGCTAAAATTTGTTTTAATCACAAAGACCTGGCAGACACATGTGATTTGTGACGCTAATCGAAAAATTAATACTTGCTGGTGCAAATGAAGACACTAAAAACTGTCTAAATCTAATCTATAAAATTCTCGTGTCACAGTTTTCGTTGCCATACTCCTCCGAAAGGGCTTGACCGATTTAGTTGAAATTTTTTATGAGAATCGGCCAACATCTATTTTTCATCCTCCTAAATGTTAGGGGTAGTCCAACCCTAAATTTTATTTTAATTTTTTAGACAAAATTATTAATTTCTATTTGTTTATGATACAACATACAAAAATACGTACAATCCTCAATTTTCACGCTTCTACGAAATGATTTATATGGCAAAACAACGTTTGCCGGGTCAACTAGTAATTTATATTAATTTATTTGTCACTAAAAACAACTTATTGATTTTTATTAAGTAGATACATCTCGTTCAAAATAATTATGTATTTCATTGTTAGTTAGTACGCAGTTTTATTTCGTGCTTTTTGAACCAGCTTTATTGTATAGAACAGCTTATTATCCTATCATATTTTAAATGGATCATGTAGGTACCATATTTTGCCTGTTATGTTATAAGTAGTATCACATATGAGGATGTGAGCCTATTGTTATACTTTTGGGTTTATTCTAGACATAGGGCCATTACTGAGAATTTAAAAAGAAAAATAAAACTTAAATCGGCCCTGGAATCAATAGCCCCAAAACATTTTTCGCTTAAATATTTTTAAGCGAAAAATTATTATTTAAAGACAAAGCAATTATTTAAAGACAATAGTAATTATGCTAGCCGTTTCATTATATTCCAAATAAGAATTTAAAATATGAAGTAGGCCCATAAATAATAAAGACCTAATCATAGGTATGTCTATTTTTCCTGCATACAGTATCTAGACAAAGTTATTTCGCAATACATAAATAAAGAGGTAAGCCTATAGTTATACAATTACATTGGGTAGAATTCCAACTGTGTTATTATTGAAGAATCTTAAATAAATTGTCAATACTCGAATCGAACGAGGATTTAACTTAAAATCTTGCAATTTCATTAACTATCTACCTATAGAGTATATAGCTATTATTACTGCAGCAATTTACGTAATAAACTCCAATATACATATGTTTATATATTATGTACAAAATAATGCTCCCAATGTTTGTTCAATTACATGAAGTGAACAGTGAGGCAACAACCACTTAAAATTTATCCATTAAATGTAACGAGCCCATGTAAACGAACATCGTATCTATAGATTGTTTCAAGAAAACCAATTACGGTAATTTATTAGTTTGCCATTTTACGAACATTATCGAAGGCAAAGCAAATCATTTTAGCATTTTTTCTTTGTATCATTCTCGTAGGCAATCATTTGGCCAATAAGTAATTTGGAATATAACAGTTTTTGCTACACGTGTATCTAATACTTGTTATTTATTCCAGTACAGCTGGGATGTTTCTCTGAACATTATTTAAGTCTATTATCAAGTAATTGTATACCATACAGGATATTGTGCCAGCGACAGGGGTCTTTATTCTCTACAGTTACACGTGGATACTAAAATATACTGTTATATACAGTTGTTTATATTAGAATATGGAAAAGTTATAGCTATGAATAACAAATTCATTATCATCATCAAAATAACAAACTATTTATCTTAATTTATGGTTTAGAATTAATTTATAGTATAACGACAAAGCTTTCTGGACGTAAATATGGAATATAATAAAAAAAATAACAGACTTCAAGAGTATTCTTGAAGTGTTCGCATAGAGCTTTATCTTACACTTTGTAGTCTTGAGATCATTGATGTAGAGATTAAATCTTATCTCTTTACATCTAAGAACAATGTTGTCACTCAAATCAAGCAGTTATGAGTTATCTTTAAAAAATATAGCATTTAATAAATAAGTAGGTAAGCAAATATTTTGTTTATGCCATTACGCCCTCCATGTAACAAAACAGGTCTAAAATATTCTCAAGCGGCCATGGCTGCCTTTTTTGACGTACAGCTTCATGATCAAATGATAAAACGAATAAATGAATCTTTAATTACTATCGTTTGATAACATTTCTCACGTGTTAGTGTTGTAGGTTCTCACATATGTTTGTAAATTTTATTGTGTTGTTGTAAACGAAATCCTCCTTCATTCATGACAACTCCAGCGTGTCTTCGGCATATTATAAGCTAAAGAGTTGGGGCAGGGTGTAAGTGATGATGTAGTCGCTTACCCCTCGGCCAGAGCAGGCACAGCAGCAGCAGCAGGCCCGCGGGCGCCGCCAACAGCGAGCGGCGCGCCCGCCCGCCCATGTCAGCGCCGCGACGCCGCCGCGCCGCGCGCCGCCGCCGCCGCCGCCCCGCGCCGCGCCATTCCCTCCGACCGCGCGACCCGACCCCCGCCTCCCAAACGCCGCACTCCCGCTTCTCTATTAGGATCTATCGAACACGATCGGCTTAAAATTCAATCTTTTTACGGTTTTCATATGTATGCAACTTGTTCACGACCGCTCGCCGACGGCCACGCGTGCCGTCCGATCCTCAAACATCGCCTACTGCGCTGAGGGAATGTGTGTGGAGTCACGGCGTGTTTTTGAGCATTGTTGTTCAGCGGAGTGCGGCCGACCGTGGGGCAGCGGAGCCGCCGGTGTGCGGACTGACGGAGCGCCGGGGCGCGCAGCCGCGCCGCCGCCGCCGCCCATTCAACCGCCGCGCCACGCCGCTGCGCGCTGTCCCGACCTTGTCTCCTCCGCGCTCTGCCTGCACGAGGTCCTCGCTCCGAGCGCGAGCCGCACCACGCACGCCACGCACGCCGCACCACCGCGCGCCACGCGCCAAGCGCCACGTCGCATCATCGTACCACTGAACCACCCTGCCACATCTTATAGCTCTCATTGATACTAATCAACAGTTACAATTATAATAATAAGTATATCAAAACTTACAACATTAATTATTACACAAGAGTATTCTTCTATCTATACATTCATTGAAAAGCACACAGAACCCTGTAGCTTTATTGAGAGATTACAATGAGATTAGAGATCAATATAGATAATGTTTAGTAATTTGATACTTTTGTAATGAAAAGTAATTTCAGTAGATACAAACCTGAAACTAGATTGAAAAGTCACGAAAATTGAATTAAGCACCTAGATGGCTATAATGAGCTTGGTAGGATGCTGAAAACTGTAATAGTAATATATTGAGTTTGTATGCATATTTGGTGGAGGGTCAGCGGTGCACGAGGCGAGTGGTAGTGTCGGCGACAGTGCGGGCAGCGCGCGGCAGGGCGCGGGGCGTGCGATCAATGAGGCCGCTCTCTTCGTTGCGAGCAGCCTCCCTGCACCCTCCGCTCCCCCACACGTTTCCCCTTACCATGCTGAATTCATCCCGTGACTATGGCACTTCCAATTCGAACATTAATTTAAAAATATTAGCTGACACCCTTTTTTCACGAGGTTGAATAAAGTAATGTTGAAAAGGTAATCTTGATAACCGGAGGGCCATTAAACCCCATTTTATTATTTCAGTTTGCAAAGCCGTAATATAATTTCTACTGGCGAGGGAGGATTGTTTATCAAAATGTTTATAGAGGGTGACTCTCGGAGCTTACCCTTGAATTTCAGAATAGGAAAATGTTTTATAGTTGATTTAGTATCAATAAATCGTGAAAGTTGCATTTCCATCAGGTACTGTGAAACAACAAATTATTGTAATGAAAACATTAAAATGGGGTAGTTCTGAAAAACAATATGAATATTTTTCAGTCTTTTAGTTTCTACAGAATAAAGTACCTAGGTGTAGTACTTAGAAATATAAGTACAGTACATGCAGGTATTGTACGTGTAATAATGCAAGTGCTAAAGTATGCAGCCAGCAGACACAAAGCACAATGAGGCCCGCGTGTCACCGCGCTGCGCACTGCCGAGCTGCCGACTGCGAGGCATGCCTGCGCCTAATGTCGCACAACCTGATAATGAAGGGTGTTTGCTCATTACCGCAACCACTTTACGCTCCTACGCGACTGCGCTCAGCGACACTTAACACTTTGCAGATATTCAAAAACTCACACATTCAAATTACTTACGCCTCATTTCTTGCTACCCTTCAGTCAAACAAACATTACGCGCTCGGCTGAAAACGTTATGACAGAAGGTTCTCGAGTTACGTAACATAAACACCAATGATTATAACTTTCCCAACAAGATAAAATAATTGACTGGCTCAGCTCATTAATTCACTCCTTGAATTAATTAGTACCTTGAGATAATTAGTACCGTAGTGCAGGCAATTAATTATCAACAACAAAGTAAAGGACGGGAACAATGCTATAGTTGGAGTTCACGATCCAGTACCAAGTCTTTATTAGGTGTTGGATATGTTTTGTAAATGGCAAATGTGTTGAGAACTAGGAAGTTTGCGAAACTCGGAGAAAGCGACCAAGGAGTAGGTACGTACCGTTGAATGGCGCAGTAAGAACAAAAGCAGTTCATTTGCTAGAAACTAGGCGAAATAATGAACGTCATATACCTGACTCCCTGAGTGAAATGTCAAAAGTAAAGGTTAAAAGTTACGAGTGCACAGCGCAAGTGTATGGGCCCTCGAGGTTTGCCTGCATTAGGCACTCATCGCCGCCCACATAGGCTTCCATATGTGAACTTTGCGTCATGTACTCGCTTCGATACTTTAAAAGCTTTTGTACGATTATTTATTTTTCTTGGTGGATTGTGCAACAAAAATAATATGTTCAAAATAAAATGTGGTAACGTAACATTGCAGCTCTCGGTTTAATTTTAACTGGTAACAAACTACCTGTCATTAGTATTGTGTTAGATACTAAATATTAGGTACAGAGAATTCCTTAAACAACTCAGAGATCGAACCTGAGCCCCGGACCTATCACACTCGTGCTCGCGTCAAATAGCAAAAATATTTTTTCTTTTCAAACACAAGAACAACTAGAAATGCACATATTTTGTAGAGAGTGTAGTATAGTATATTTTCTACTTCATCTCCCACAAACTCCAAACCACAGTGTTACTATCACTAGAGCCCGTATGGTCGCAGCGTGTGTCAATGTTTTCGTATGCGACAAACTTGGATTTTACTAACGCGCTTTTAAACACATTTGATTTGTTTTTGGCAATGACTGTCGATTTTCTCAAACTTAATCATTTTAGGACAATATGTGAAACCTGTGAAAATCTAATCTAGGTTAAGATATTATTACATAGGCAGTTCTACTCTCTTTCGAGCATATTATATTTTCATGTCATTAGTCAAATAGGACTTTGAAAGAGTAATGACGGATTTCCTGAAAGGTCGCAAATCCTTGCCAATTTCTCCACTCCATCTTAATATAAATGAAACATATAATTTATTCGAAACGGAACCACGTTCGATGCTAAAATATTGATCGAAACGTAGGTACTTATTTATGTGGCATATACCGTTACTCATAAAAACAAATAACAGTGTGTTTGAAAATTGGGCATCTGAAAAACGTATGTAGATGTAATAGGTACCTACTGTATTATATTTATTTAAAATAGCCTTGTTTTAAGCCGACTGTTAGGTTTAATTATTTCGAAATTCACGTGATTGGACACGGTGTTTGACTTTTAACTCGACCCTATGACCCTGCAATGGAACTCAAAACATGACTGGTGAAAACAGCGCGTGAATATTTCCTTGTCCAAACCTTTTCCATATAATTGGCGTCATATTATGGTATGCAATTGGCAAAAAGTGTGGGTGTACTATAAGTACACTTCTGTCTATCACTTCGGGGAATTACAGGGGCGATGTTAGGTTATGTAAAATGGGCTAGGTAGTGTGTGTGTGTGCAGTTGAATTAGTGTGGCGTTGGTGTGGTGTGGCGGTGTGCCGTCGCGTGACCGCTCAATGGCTGCCTGCAAATTGCACATTACACGCCGAGTTCGGCCTGCAACCGACCATTAGTGCATACCCGCAGATTACTTCATAGCGAAACCAACCACGTTAAACTGTTACATTTTTTATGGACTAGCGAAATTAGTTTTGAAAGACAATGTCATTGTTGGAGACTATAATACCTCAGCGTTCAATGATAGCTATACTACAATATTTCCTTTAGACATTGGGCGCGATGACGCCTGCTCATCAATGTATGATAGTAAGTTTCGTTGTAAATAAATACTTACATAATGTTTTATATCTTATCGAACTATAACTTTCTCTCTCTACTCACACATAAATACTGAGAGCAAGTTCAGTCATTGACATTATGACTTTTGAAGTCAGACAATGTGACTTTGAAATGTAACTAAAGTGAAGAAGTTCTGTATAATTAAAAATAAAAGCTTTTAAAAGGTTTGAAATTGATCAATGGCCTACGACCTGCCTGCATCAGATGAATTAATGAAATTAATAAAGACATTTGAATAGAGTTTCGAGTCTTGAAAACAATTTGATTGGATCCAACCCATTTATGAAGCGGGGTTAAATTATTTATTGCTTTTCCGACAATCAATTGTAGTTATAATAAATGGAAATGAGTGGCGTCTACGTTAATACATATTTGAAGCGATGTAATGAGCGGATGCAAAATAATCTCAATAGTGTTTCGGGGAAAAGAATTCATGTAGGTACTGAAACATGTCGATGAAAAATTGTACATTCCATTTTCATGATTGCTTCACTTGATTTATGACTGCGGAAGAAAGGGCGTCGTTAATATTACACGGACTATGAAATGTACGAAATTATATTTATGTGTTTGTATTGGGCGACCGAGGGCGACGGGCTGGTCACACTGATTACTTATTAATGACCACAGCCTGCCAGCCCCGGAACGCCGATAAATATTTTCCTAAACAAATTGTGCCATTGATCGCTGGTAAACAAACAGAAAAAGAATATCAATTTTCTCTAAATTTGGAAAGTCGACCCAAGAAAAGTAATCTATAAAGTAAAACAATAAAAGTAAAAATATTGGACCTACTTAATATTACATTGGCATAGAGGCTTATATTGGACGTGATCTGGTGACAGTACTGTAACATCCAAAGTATGGGTAAAGCTCGACTGGCGCGATGTTACGAGTCTCGCAAATGTAATAAACAGCGAATAGAAATAGCCGCACATGGAGGAAGGGGTGGTGCCGCAGACATTTATTACGTGACGCTCCTACGTCTCAGGTCGACCGACAGCTCTGTGAGTGCACACTGCATTTCAATGCGGAAACTACTAGCACCAACATAATATTTTGAAATATGCTCTTTAAATATTTCCTACAATATAAGGTTTTAAACGTGCCAAGAGAATATCTTAAGGACAGATTTATCGGAGCGACGGCAAGTGACTGGGATGTTTGCCTTCGGAGCGCTAAGTTCCGGATATGAAACTCGTGACAAATTGTGGAATGTTATGTGTCTGACGGTGACATATGATTTTATAGCACAAGAAGTCTTTTATTTTGAGAGCCTCCATTATGTGACGGCAAAACAACCGTGGGTATGATTTGTAGCCGTGTGTTACTAGTATCTATAGGCTAGGTGACTTATTGATTTTTCTCTCAAGGGGTAAGTAGATAAAGCGGAACAAATATGAGGTATGTTTAACCGCACGTCATGTTGGGTACCTCGTGAGCCATGTACACCGATAATATGTTAGTTATGGGGTCGCCAGTAATGATGATTGCTGGCCTGTCGCTACGTGCAAGGAAACCAGCTTTCCTCGTTTGACTTTTACAACTTCGACGAACGAGATAATGTACAAACTACATTTTTAAAATTTTTAGGTCCTTATATCGTAGTCAGTGTCCCGAAAGCGGCTGCAGGTTACTGCATTCATTTCGAAGTCGAAGTACGAACAAAGTTGGCAGAAACGTAGAGAATTTAATCTAATTTTGTAGAATTATAAAATAGCTAGAGTAAAACAAACTGCGGATAAAGTTCACTGAGGAACATAGGTGGGTATGTTCATTACAATTAAATTAGTGGTTCTCGAAGTACGTGGGTACCACACGTGTAGAGTGTGTAGAGAGTGCCGCTGTGAGCCTTACCGGGTGTAATTGGGTGAGCGTCTCACGCCAGCTATGGAAGAAGTCGGCGCGATTTTCATTAACCTCAAATGAGAAAAATGCCGCCGTCGTGTTTGT